GCAACAAGAGGGCTGGAGCGATAGCTCCCGCCAAACCACACCTACCAGCCCCGAATACTCATTCATGGGGCCAACCAACCAAGAACTCAAGGAAAGGGAAAGACAAGCACAGCATAACGCCATGTCATGGACGGTATACTACGATGACGGTTGCCAAATACACTTTGGCGACAAGGAAGGCTCGGGATAGTTCCCGAGGGAATGTCGAAAGCGTGGCCCACGCCCAGACCACGTCCTAAAGCATTGGCAACAATACTTCAGAAATGGGTGCAGGATGCACAGGGCACAAAAAATATCTGCGAGATTTTACCCGCAGAAGGATGGAAGCCGAAAAGAGTTGGAAGGAGAAGATGCCAGAAAGGCATGGGCCGCGAGGACACGGTCCAAGGAGGGAGGGGCCCAAAATTCCTCGGCAGACACGGAACCGGATGTCAGGAGCCTACACAGGCAGATCCGGGGACTCCGAGAATACCTGGGCCAAGCTGAGGCCACAATTTCGGCAAACGACAAAACGATCGCGGAGCTTAGACAGCTGAACAAAAATCAGCGGCACACGATTGAGATGGCGAATCTGACTCTGGAATCGGTAAGGGTCAGATGGAGGATGGCAGAGGAAAAGTTCCACAAACTGAGAAGGACCATGCGCTCGGCAGGACAGGAACTATTGAAACTGGGAGAAAAAGCCTGATGGAACTCAGGCTTAGGAGGAGGGGAGCTAATATCACGAACGTGGCTTAGCAAGGAAAGAGTTTTCACGTAACACATGGTTATGAGTCACAGGTATGTTATTGTTTCACGCATATGACCCATTCGGGCTATATGATTAGTTATGTGTGGGATTTGTAATGCTTTCACACATGGCTCAAGTATGAGTCATGGGACATGCGCCTGACGAGTATGCCTTACGAGTGTGCCTTACGGGTAAGCCTTGCGCATATGATTTATGTTTCACACATGACCTCATTATGATGTCATGGGTTTCGTGCATATGACTCAATCGAGTCATATAACTTGTTTATTGCGTTATGATTGGTTTATGAGTTTCGCACATGTGACCACTTTAGGTCACATGACTAAAGGCGGGAAGAACACTATATAAGGAGGCCGATGCAGCTGAGGAAGATAGGTTCTTCACGCTTTGTTCTAAGTACTTTTCCTACTTATTACTTTAACGAATAGAAAACACCTTTACGATCTTTATCCTTACTGCAATCGTTATCATTACGCCGAGAAGTGCTCGTCACGAAGATGAGTTAGAGAAAGCTTACGATAGGCATTTCCGATAGAAGACAAAGGTCTTGTACTATCGGTAACGTAGGTAGAGGCCTGAAGCTATCGTAAGACATACAACGAAGGAGACAGAAGAGATAAGTATCATTCCCCGTCACCAAGAACTAACTATCTGAAAGGGGATCGTTACAGGTACTCCGGCCTGGCGTGGGATTCCACTTTGCTCTTTGTTAGAGCTGTTGTCCGAAGATTGATCTGCCTCAATATGATTTTGAACACAATTGCCAGTGTCTAAATCATGATTTGAGGCAGTCAATTGCGGTAAAGCCTGAGGTTCCAATTGGCACAATGATGGCATAGTTGAGGATCAGGCTCTCTCAGTCTCTCGTTTTGGTTTTGGCTGCCAGGCCTGCGATATGACAATGTTGCAAAAAGACTCTGAATGTGAGGTGAATATGGCTTTAGGGTGGATGGTGGCAATTGATTTTGCTACTACATTCTTGAAGAGGCGAGAATTCATGTATATAGATAGGGTATACACTCTAACCAATCAAAAAATAAGAAGCGTTCGCGGAATTTCTTTCAAAATCAACTTCAACCCCTCCCCCTTGTCATATAACTATGCCTTACGTAGTAAGATTCTCTGCCCCCTGCTGTTCGCGGTCTAACCCTGGCACCCGAGTACTTGTAGGATACAAGTGCAACAGCCCCATGATTCTCATCGGCATCGTCGTCGCTGAATTTCAAGGCCCATGATAAGGCCCATCATGGTAGAATACCCGATGTACCCGCAGTAAATAATGAAGAATGAAGAAAATACCGACGCTCCGGGATCCACACTTATAATACTATGCCGTCTATGAATATATATATGTCATCATCTAATTAACAATGGGAATTTTTTTTTTTTTTTTTTACCAACGATGTTTCCAAGGGAAAAAGAGAGAAAAATTCTGTCAGCGCCCACCCGTTGTCGGGTACTACGCCGGCATTCAAGAAAAAAAAAGTGTTTTTTCTTTGCTAGGCAGCTTGGCGTACGGACTAATTATGGTGTGGAGGGACTTGTACTCGAGTACAACAGATTTTTTTCCTTCAGAAACATGTTCATTACCTCGCTCGACGGATTTCCATTGTCTTAGATTCGATACTTTGAAGTTGATTTTCTTAATGGGGGGATGGGGGGATGGATGAGTGGACAGATGGATGGAATAGATCGGATAAACGAATGATTTGTTCAACGGTCATCTCGTTGCGATGAGGCTTTGGGTGGGACTATTCATACTCGGCGTAGTCATCTTTGACCCGACTGACTACAGCCTGCCTCACTGTACTCGTACTAGTACAGTACTCGTGCTCGAGTACCGGTACAATACTCGAGTATCTGTCTGTCCCTTCTGTCCATTCCGTCATGTTCACTTTGCCAGCCCAGACCAACCCAAGCAGCCAGCCAGCCAGCCAGAGGGCCTATTTCCCTTCCATAACCCTTTATACGCAGCAGTGGACGGATGGAATTGGACTTGTGGGGAATGGGTTGTAGTCTGCCTCAGGCAGGGTACGTATGTGGATTTTTCGGGCCAAGTAGTTGATTGTAAACAGGCCGCGGTGCGTACTTTGCACCTTTTTTTTCCTCCTTTTCTTTTTCTCCTTTCTTTCCATATTGTTATTTTTATCCCCAGGGTAGGCGAGGGACTGGAGGAGAAGGGGAAGAAGCATGGAAGGATAAAGGGAAAACGTGAAGAAGGCTGTGGAAGGAGCTATCATTGGTACAGTACCGTACCGGTACTGGTACAAGTACTTATGGAGGAACAAGTACTTATGGAGGACAGGGAATAGCGAGTTGCGACGGGGAGTGAGGGAGGAGGATAGCAACATAGCAACACTAACCCAAACTTACCTTTTGAGCTCGGGAGAAAGGAGGAATCAGAGGGGAGAGAGATGGGCCCCACGGGGACAGTAATTATCAATTGTTTATCTACATTTAATATCACGCTTCGAATAAAGTTTTTTTTCCTTCGGGGAGGGCGGTTTAGTTGGGCTAGTATCGTATTGTAATCATCTCGGCTTCGTTCTTCCGCTCCTTGGGTTATGGGATCCTTTTTGTGTGAGACGAGAATATCGTAGCGACGGCTAGCCCAAAAGCAAAAGTGTGTGCGTACATAGTCTAGCCAGGACTTTGTCACTGGTACCGGTATGATAGGTAGTTTACGACCTCATCCTCTCTCTCATACAGTACCTTCCATCCCCCGGTCCGGCCTTTTTCTCTTGTTTCCTCCGCACTTTTTTTTTTTTTTTTTCTTCTCGAAATTTATCCTTTTCCCCCTTCCTCTTCCTCTGCCACCCCCCCCCCTTCATTCTCTTTCATCTTTCCTGCTCATAGCCTTCTGCGGATTTTAAACGTTTGTTTGTCGTTTTTTGTTTCGCTGGTGTTATATTTTCCTGCTGTTAGGGTTCTTTTCCTTACGCTGCCACAAGAAAGAAAAGAGAGACAAGAAAAGCAAGAAGGAAGAAGAAAGAAGAGCGAGAGGAAACAAAAAAAAAAAAAAAAAGAGAGGGAATAGCTGTCCTGTCCTCTTGGGTTCTTACGCTTTTTAAACCTTTTTTTTTTCGCTATCCCGCATCGTACTTTTTTCTTTTCTTTTCTTTCCCCACTGAAACCCCCCCCGTTCAAGTTACATACCATTCCGGCCTGCTGTTGCCTGCGCATCTCAGCTCGTCTTTTATCGTCATCGCCTTGCAAGTCGATTCTCCTCAACCCACCAAGAGAAAACTTCCCCTCCTCTTTTTTTTCCCTCTCCTTCTTTCTCTAAAACCCCATCCCCTTCCTTGGTCGGCTCCCGCCACACTTCCAATCTTCACCCCTTCCGCGGCAAACCTAAGAAAAATTTGCCCGAACCCTCTTCGCGACCTTTTCTCATCACTACCACCACCACGGTCACCACCACCACACTTCTCGTTCGCTGCCATCCACCACCACCACCACCACTGACCATCCACAATCATCCCACCATCGCACACCCCCCTCAATCATCAAATTGCCCGCCACTGTTCGTGTCTCTCTTCCTCCTGTCCTCCTATCCTCCCTTCCCTCCCTTCTTTTTGTCCTTTCTTGTCTACCTCACTGATAACCCCCTTCGCTTCTTTCAATTTGTGTTGACTCGAAAGCAATTCTGGCGCAGTTCTCGTCTTTCGTTGTTGACGGTTTGGATTATCTGTCGACACCCTTACTTAAGAGCGATTTTTCTTGCCACATCCCTTGCGTCAATCACGACGGTGCAATTTTTCTGCAGTTGTACTTTTCTCGAGCCGGTTAACTCAAACGAAGGTATCTATTAATCCCCTCTCCTCTCAAATACAAGAAGATTGGTTCAGTTTTTTTTCATCCAATTCTTTTTACTGTCCCTCTGCTATAACCTTTCCCCCGTGTTTAATCCGTTTCTTTCCTCTCGTTCTATCATTAATCCTTTGCCTCCCCCGTCCTCTTCTACTCCCGTTAGTGTACTGTATGTTCGTTCGTCGCTCTTTCTAAACATTTCCCTTGAGTCGCTCGAGCCCTTTGATAGTTCTTCAATGGTATTTACTTTACGGCTCGATTAGCAGGTTTCGAAAATAATATCCTTTATTGCCTCCCTTTTTTCTTTTAAAAAGCGATCTCTTTTTTTTTTTGGCGCCAGAGCCAGAAGTTTCCTCGATCCGACCTCAACAGAAAACAACCGGCCCATCGCATCGTTTTTACGCTTTTTTTCTGTCTTTTTCAAGGTTGAACGAACAACATGTCATTTCAATACGATTACCCGCAGCAGCAGCAACAGCAAGGCTCTGCCTCGCCAACTGGTGCCTCCGCTGGCGGGCCACCTCCTACTGGTCAAGCCGTTCCACAACAAGCCTCTGCTTCTCCTGTTCCATATCCTAATAATTCTGCAGCAGGCTCTTCTAATGGTGCTGCTGGTAGCGATGCTAAGACGACTTTGTGGTATGTTTGATGTTGAACCATATTGCCTCGGACCCGATATGGGGAATTGCTCGGGTAATGTCTAGGTGTTTACGGTTAACTAACTCCTGCCTTGTAGGATGGGTGAGCTCGAACCGTGGATTGATGAGGCGTTTGTTAGAAATGTTTGGTATCAATTGGGCGAAGGAGTTAATGTTAAGATGATTCGCGACAAGTTTTCTGGGTACGCGTTTCTCCTTCCAGCTGCTGAATAGTTTTTTATTTTTTTTCCCTTGATCGTTATAAATTTTGCTTTTGTCGGGATCACTAACATTATATTTTATTAGTAATGCTGGTTATTGTTTTGTTGATTTCAGCAGTCCCGCTGCGGCTGCCAAAGCGTTGACGCTCAATGCCACCCCTATTCCCGGGAGTAGCCGTCCTTTCAAATTGAACTGGGCCTCGGGAGGGGGTCTTGCTGACAGACGGTATGTACTATACTTTTATTGGTTTGCATTTTTCACATTAACTAATTAAATTCCATGCAGCGACGATCGCGGACCTGAGTACTCCATTTTTGTTGGTGACCTTGGACCTGAGGTTAATGAATATGTCCTCGTTTCGTTATTTCAATCAAGATTCCCGTCTTGCAAGTCGGCAAAGATTATGACGGATCCCGTGAGTGGGATGTCTCGTGGCTATGGGTTTGTTAGGTTCTCGGATGAGATGGATCAGCAACGTGCTTTGACTGAGATGCAAGGCGTGTACTGTGGTAATCGTCCCATGCGTATCTCCACCGCGACTCCTAAGAACAAGAGCGCTACTGGTGGTCCCGTCATGCCCGGAGCACCCGGTCCCGTTGGTATGTACTCTATGGGAGCTCCCCCCATGGGTTATTACGGTGCCCCGCAGCCGATGAACCAATTTACCGATCCTAACAACACCACTGTTTTTGTCGGTGGACTTTCTGGATATGTTACCGAAGATGAGCTCCGCTCGTTCTTCCAAGGCTTTGGAGAAATCACCTATGTTAAGATTCCTCCGGGTAAGGGTTGTGGGTTTGTTCAATTTGTCCAGAGACATGCGGCCGAGATGGCAATCAACCAGATGCAGGGATATCCTATTGGGAACTCAAGGGTTAGATTGAGTTGGGGACGGAGCCAAAACAACTCTGGGCCCGCGGGCACTCCTTATAGGCCTGCTCCTCCTCCGCCCGTCTATCCGTCGATGGGCATCGCTCCTCAACATCACTATGCGTCTTTTGCGCCTTTAAAGTAGTTACACTCTTTCTTTAAACTCTTTTATAGTTCGATGTATCTATTACACGTTACTCTTTTTCTCCCCTTTACATATCCCCCCCTTAGACCTTTTGATTTTGATTTCTCCATTTTCCCAGCAAGACCATTCTTGTCCAATATCCCATCAGGGCATTTCTTGTATCAAGGCACTTTTTTCTTTTCTTTCTAATGTGTGACGATTTTGGAGTATGGCTGTTCGATTTTGTTTGCTGATTTATTTGCGCCTTGCCTTTTCTGTAGTCCTCATGCTGCACACATGCACCCGCCTCCTCAACCGGGCCAAATGCCACCGCCAGGACCACCGGGCGCAATCCCTGGACCGACTGATCCCACGGAACCTCTCGATATGCAGCGCATGAATACGATGTACTTGGCCGCGAAGGATGGCAGAATGGACCGTCTCGAGGCCGACTCTCGTGGATACCATTCTGTCTATGCTGCCTAAAGACCAAGGCCTATTTTGATATTGCTTTTCTTCTCTTTTGTCTTTTCTTTTTTGAGGGGACCATAACCAAAACCGAGGGGAAGAAAAATAAATACAGAAAAAAAACCACAACCAATAATTGGAATGAAATGTTGTCATCGGCAAGGGAAGGTTAGGAAATGGAATTCATGCGAGGGAAAGGAAAGGAAATGTGATGGATGGTGTTGGGAGTGTTGATAGCTACATCTGGCGTTGCGCAAAAAAATGTTTTGGCTTTTTTCTTTCTTTTCCTACCGTTTTTCTTTCCCTTGTTTCTTCTTTGTCGAACTTTCTCTTTTTACTTCCCTGTCACAATTCTCGATTAAAAGGGCTCTTTTATCATCTTCATCACCGGCTTTGTTGGTTTGGTCTGATTTAGTTTGGCTGCGTTGGTTTTCCTTTCCTCTTTTTTAAAAAATGGTAGTCCTTTTTTCTTCTATTTCGTAGCTGGGTTGTTTTGCCCTCCTTCCTCTTTTTATCTATCTCTTCTCCTTGGGGATTACTTCACTTCACTTATTGTTGGGTTCTATCTGCTTATCTACTGTGCCCTTGATCTGATTTTGATTGGATTTGATTTTGATCGACTTCTTGAGTACGGTGTCTGAGGAAATTTAAAAATTCCGGGTTTTTTTATATCTTTTTTCTTCTCATTTTCATTCATGGGCTTTTGATCTTGATTTTGCTATTACTGGTAGTTTTCAAAAATTTCGTTAACTTTACTTTTTAACCCTTTTCCCATCTAAATGAGTGGTAAGTTAGGTCAGCCTATTTATTTATTTGCTCGACGATGGATAGTGATGCATGGATGAGTGTGCGTTGTTTTATTCCTTCCTTACCACCATCTACGCATCTAGTTTTTAGCAGAAGCGAGCGTGCTGATTTTACTGCCTCGATGGGGGGGGGGGGGTTTATGGGAGGTAAACTGTGCTTTTACATAACCGGTATTTAGGAGTTTTTTGTTTTTGTTAGGGGAGAAAATGGCTTGTTTCAGTCTGTTTTGATTGGTTAGCTTGGTTCTATATATCCCGTATGATAGTATGATTAGTACAGTGGGTGGAAGCTGTTCTATGATGCGGTATAATACTACTGCTTAAGCTATGGTATCTTGGGCTTGTTCCGTGGGCCGAGCAGTCTGTGATGAGCTATTAGTCCTTATATCATACATGTACTCGGGTATCACCTGGTATATATACTGTACTGTACTCGTATGATACCATCGTCGAGTATGGGTGCCCAGCACTCGAAATCACCCCCCCTCAGATTGCTTTCCCCATTCAAGAAACGGCGACGGCGACGACGACGAGCTCTTCTCTTCCTTCCCCAATCCCTACGTATTCATCCAGTTACCTTCCTTCCTTCCTTTCAAATTTTAATTTTTTTTCTTTCTTTTTTTTCTTTTCATCATCGAGAATTGAACTCACGTCGTATCATCACGTGGAGCTTCGTTCGTTCCTCTCGCCCGGGTCCGGATGACAGGTAACACTGCGGCGCACGCGGACCACCTTATCATACAGCTCTTGCATGTGCGAGTTGAGCGGTGATGGGTGTGTGGGTGGGAAGTCATGGGGTGTCACTCGTGCGTGGTTTTTTTTTATGATACTCTTTTTTTTTTTTGGGTGGGGGGGGGGGAGGGAAGGGAATTTTGAGCGCTGATGGCTCGCGGCGGATATTATTAACAGCACTGAGTTTCACTTGTTGGGATCCCTTTTAGTGTCTACTTGTGCCGGCTTATTATTGGAGCCTTTCCGATGGGGTCGGAGCTTATGGGGTGTGTGTGAAGGCCCGTAAAGAGAGAAGTGATAAAGGTGAAGTGGCTGGATGGGCGGTGAGCTGGGTGCCCGATACCGAGTTTGGTGGGGTTCCTGTGAGATGAGGGGTGGAAGTAGGTATCGTAGATATCGTAGATGTTTTCCGGGGAATGGTTGCGTTTACCCGCAGACCGATTATAGTATACCTTCTTCGTATGGTACTACTGTACTTGATGGATGGGTGATGGGTTTTCTGCTTTTATGGTGTGTGTTATGAGTATCACGCTTCAGCAGTGGTATGATAGTGACTCCTTTTTTTTCCTTTTTTTTTGCTGTGAATTACGTATCTCCACCCTCATCGTAATCGCACTTCAAACTTTGGCTTTTGACTTCTGAAGGGTTATTGAAATCTACTTGCTTGCTTTCTGGGATGAGTTTGTTTAAAACTTCGGATTGAGAAAGGAGACTACTACTGCTTCAAGAAGAAGAATCATACTCAAGGAGATAAACGGAACAAGACAAACATAGAGGAAATCATTGGTGCGTAGGAATGCATAATATGTAACTATTAGTCTACGACGTATGCGTTCCCATGAGACCACAGTATTAAGGCAGCACTGACAGCGCAGTATGAATGTCCTGGTTACGCAGAAAGCGATGATAGGATAAAAAATAAATAAGGTGACATTAGGTCCTCATTCTAGTACCTCATTGACAAAGCCGTTCCGGAAATACAATTATCATACCCGATCCATGGATCCATGCGCTCTTGTCCCAACCAACCGGTGTGTGCCGCTGCCGAGTGATTATCTATGGTTGCCATGGGGGGGGATCCTCCCCTCACTTCCAATCAACCAACCAACCGATCAGGTCAGTCCTATCCACCGCACAAGCACTTGTCATATCAGCATAATTCCACTCTACCAACTCGACCTAAAAACCCGCACCAAAGTGCAGGGTTATGCATCCCATCCCCAACCCCGCTGGTATATTTCAGATCCCAGCGCTAACCAAGTTGTGATAAGTGAATAAATAAATAAAGAGTATAGTAAGATCAGGCCGCCGCCCCGAGGCCTCACGGCCGCTCACTCGTAGCTGGAATAAGCGTACCGGCGTTGGGGGGGGGGGTTGCGGGGATGTGTGTATGTATGATATGTATGTTTCCGGCTGGGCGTGTTTGACGTGTGGGAGTTGCGCAATCGGTCGGTCGGTTGGTCGGTTGGTGTACTGTGTGGGTGGGACATTGGTTTCTCTGTACTGTACTGTACTCGTACTGTACTCGAGTACTAGTAGTAGCGTGGTGTGAGCACATGGGAATTTTTTTTTGGGGGGTGTCGGTGCGGCCGAGGGGAGTACTTTAGATTCCGCTGGGAGGTACCAGCTGCGTCCGCAACGCTCCCGCACCCTTTCGGGTGCTACGAGTCCTTGGAAATGCTTCGATAGCCCTCTATCATTCTGTAAGAAACGAGTTGTGATGAGAGTTTTACAATGTCCACAGAGGGCATATCCGAGGGTGGTTATCTAACCTCTATTGTTAATAGATGCCGGTCATTGTTCTTGGGGTGCGATATGAGAAATTTACGGATGTGCATGTACTGTACTGTACAGTACAGTTCTGTATTCGTGGGAGGGGCTGGTTGATCTGATCCCATGCCTGCCGGTCACATAATACAGTAGGTAATTACCGCAAGTGATCAGCCGGGCGCCCACTCCTTCCCTCCATTTTCCTCCCGGAGAAATCTCATCACGGGAGAGTCGGGGGATCGGTGCGGGAGGGAGGAATGGAAAAAAGGGTGCGGGGTGCGGGGTGGAGCATACTCGAATTACCCATCCTTGAACACCCTTCCTTAGCCAAAGTTGGCAGGAGGGAGGTTGAAGAAGAGTTGCACTTCAGCTAGGTTAAGTTAGAGGAGGTTCTCGAAACGTGAGACCTACAATTGGGTTCTCGTATAAGGCTAGCCGGGAAGTGGGGTCTCGCGGGTAACCCCCGATTCGCTCCTGCGATTGGGGTGATGTTATGTGATGGAATGTGCTAGTGCCGACTGCTCACCCCCAGGCCTCCGAGTAAAAAAAAAGACCCTCCTCCGTCACTATCAGGGAGCCGGAATATCGTGGGATAAAGCAGCTATAATATAAGGCACGACCAAAGCTCTACGTACATATCTACTCGAGTACGCCTAACTTAAGACATGGACCTAGAGAACTCTCGCCACGGGAGATGGCGTGTTCTCTCTCCCGCAACGAAAAGCGCTAAGGCGTATTGCGGCAGCGGTGGTGGTGTGCTAGCATGGGGTCGCGGGGTCGCATAATCTAGTATCATAATCGTGAGGCGCTATCCTCGTGTTGTGGCGTCGTGATGTGATTGTATGATGGTGATGTGGGTTTCCGTCGGGAATTTGGTTAATCAGTTTCGGGTTCCGGATTCCCTGCTATGGGTGGCGCCGGCGCCGGCGGGGGTGGTATGACGTTTCCATAAGTTATTGGAGCCTGAGGAAATATTTGGCGTTCTTTGTGAGGTGCAGATACTTGCTGAGGGAGCAGGCCTTAGTAAATCCTGGGCTCAAACGGAAGGTTAGACATTCTGGGCCACGCCATTCTGAAGGCCTTACGGGGAGTTGGTATAATATGGTCCATGACGCTGTAGCTTAGACGAAGTAGAGAAATGCTCGAGAGCCCATACAAGTAGTGGAATCCCGTGATTCAGCTTCAGCTCCGAGAGTATACTGCACGAGCAGCTGAACTCCCGGTCTCAAGAATTTCCAGCTCCGGACAGTTCTGCCCGGGCAGGCAGGAGTCTTGGTAGTCACTTTATTGGCCCCTGAGACGGAATAGGATATCAGACAAATATCCCACACCGACGATCGGGAGTTGTTCCAGAAGTTTTGAGATGTGCAGCCACCTTTGTTGATAGGCAATTGGCGCAATCATATTGAGGTACTTTTTTTCTTCTTCCAATATACGAGCGGGCACTCGGTATCGGTAGTCAGGATAGGGACGGGGGAATAATTCAGAAGGGAGGTTGCGGACCTTTTGTTTTGCTTTTCTTCTGCCTCAATGCAGGAGGGAAAAGGCTTTTTCAACAATTTCAGGCCTCCCACGCCAAGATTTTGGTCTCTGACAGGCGCAGATCGTGCTCGCTAACCTGGAGTGCTGGATTCCAGTGTATGAGTCTTAAATCAACATCCACCCTAACGATGAAAGGGCTGGGCTGGAGTCCTGAAGAAGACACCCCACCCTCCTCCCCCTTACAAGCAAAAAATCTGGGAAAGAACATCTTGGGGTTTTGGCTATCAGGCACGGCATCTCTTCAAAAATTAAGCCCTATCCTATCGTGCCTTCCCCTTTATCAGTTCTAGCTACTGTTATACAGTCAGGGAGAGGAAAAAGCGAAGCTCACATTCCCTCCACCCGTCCATCCATCCACCCCCCCTCCCAACTAGTGGAGTACTTTTATTTTATTTTATTTTATTTTTCTCCTCCTCGTCGCAGCACGGCCAACCATGGCCCCAGAAGCCTCAGAAACCGGGTCACCATTATTGTCTCCCGAACACAGCCCTCCCTTCCATACGCCGCTTATGGAATCGGCCTCTGATCCTATGGATCTGGGTGCTATTCCGCTGCAGCCGCTGGATCAGGAGGATGAGGCTCCGTTAACATCATCAGATCTCTCGTCCTCACCTCCCCTCCCCCCTAATGCAAACTATGCGAACTACACAAGTGGAAGCCCATGGGCGGATAAGCCTGTGGTGCCGATATTGGAGCCTGTTGATGCTTATCTTGCATCGAACCGCGCCGAATATTTGGACAAAGACCCCAACGAAAAGGCGAAGGCCAGCTCGGAGGCGCCAGATGAAGAGGGAGATGAGGAAGATGAAGAAGATTTGTTGTTGGAAACTGGACAGGATGGAAGTAGTAACACTCGTGGCGAAGGGGATAAAAGGGGAAGAAGAGAGACAAACGAAGCCCCCCCGCCAAAGGGCAAACGCAAGAGGCGCAACAATGCGGAGAGTAAGGAGACTAGGGAACCTGGACAGCCAATCCTTCTCACAACATCAATTACTACTACCTATGCGAAGGACCTCTATGAGCTCTGCCAGTCCCATGTCCGCTTAGTCCCGCTCTTCACCTTCGAGCAGAATAAGCCGCAGGAGTTTACTGTTGTTTTAAAGTTGGTTGGACCCCTTGAGTCTAAGGAGATTGTGGTCGACGGAATATTCCCATCAAAACGGCATGCAAAGGAAGCGGCCGCAGCATTGGGTATCGAATACGTTCGCGATCTGCCTAAGGATGGATCGTCACGGTTATTCACTATGGACCAAGAACCGGAGAATTGGGTTGGCTTGTTGAGCGGTATTTTCACTTCACCCCTCTTTGGATAACTACATTCCCTTCGCCTTCGCCTCCATCCTCACCCTCACCCTCACCCTCACCCTCACCCCCTCCTTCTCGCACTACATATACACATGTGTACAAAATGCAAATTATGGAGACTAAACGAAACCAGACATGTGCAACGGAAAGCAGATTCGGCCCCAATACACCGACTATGCTACTCCCGGCGCCGGTTATTCCTGCGAAATAAGACTGGGTGCGGAATTCGGATTCCCGGGCGTGGAGTGTATGGTCTTTGGGGATAAACATCGCGCCTTCAAAAACAAGAAGAGTGCGAAGATCGCCGCGGCCAAGGAAGCCATTTTGTGGATTCGCGAACAGGCACCTCCAGGAACTCCTGTTAATGGCCGGACTCCCAGGGCAGCTGCAAGCGGTCCCGAAGGCGTAGTAGATATTCCAGAGGGTACACCTACGGCCCAGATTGTTAATCGTTTGTCCCCCCACCACCTTAATTGACCCTTTCACACACTCGCTAACTAGCCAAAAAAAAAGTTATCTGCCCAAAACTAGGTTTCACCTCCCCGGAGTACATCTTCCATGCCGATCCCCACGCTCCTGGTCTATACGACGTGGACGCAGTGATTAAGCGTCCAAAAGGTCCACGTCCAGCCAAAATTGGTCCGATCCGCAGTGTCTTTGGCAAGAAGAAGGCTCGTGACGAAATCGCTACTTGTGTACTCCGCTGGCTCCGCAAGGAGGCAGAAAAGCAGGGACTCAAGATTGTTGAGCATGATGAGGTTAATGGTGCCCGGGAGGATTATAGCTCTTCTTAGCCATTTGGCCACTACTTGACTTGGTTATTTTGTGGTTTGGGGGAGAAACAGCAATTGATGGAAAAAAGTCTGGGGAAAAATTTTTAGTCTTGTTTCCGGTTCGGTTAGTTCGATGAGTTCTCCCTCCTTTTTGTCTGTCCTTTTCTGCCTATCATAATCGAATCCACTATCTCTTCCCCCCATCCCCCTCTTCTTTTAATAGCTTCTCATGGAATCCTCACTATTCTTCCATCCTCTTTTTTCTTCTTCCATTTTCTCCTTCATCTACTGTATCTCATTCACATTTCCGTTATCATTTTCATCCACAAACTTCTCATTCATTCCAAAACCCCCCACAGATAACCCGCGGAAGATGTATCATCAAGTCTAGCACGTCTAGACTTGATCTATGGGTTTATTCATCTATCTCCTGTATCTATCCATTATACCTACCCACCTACCCATGCCTTTCTATTTATGGTAGCGTCGGTGCATCGGTTTTCTTCTTCCTACCTCCATCTATCTACCCATCTATCCACCCATCTATCTATTCACCCCAATACCTTACCTCCCGCTACTCTGTTAAATTCCGCGATATCACAGTAATAGTTTGGGTGTGATAACCTTTCCTGCAAATTGTAAGCTGTACTTGTATTGCAGAGGTTCGCTTTTGATTGATTGATTGATTGATGCGTGCATGGGGTGGGCGTAAGACTCTTTTTGTTTTCCTCACTTTTTCTTTCTTTTTCTTTCTTTTTCTTTTTTTTTGGAACCAAGGTTGGAAGTGAGATTAGGGTATGTCCTATCAGGTCAATTTACCCGGTTTCTATCTAAAAATTTTGGCCATCTCTTTCTTTTTTTTTTACCTTATTCTATTTTGGTTTGTTGGTTCTTTTTGGACGTGGGGGTTCGGTTGGGCGGGTGTGGGCGCTGGCGTTGACGGACGGACAGAAAACACCACAAAGGCTACGATAATTGGGTGTTTTCATGTTTTGATTTTGAAAAAAACTGTAGATGTCACAATTTTCTCTTTCCTTATATATATACACCCAAGGGGAGTTTTTCTCTCTTTCGGTTGGGTTGGGTCTGTGTAAGCGGGGTCTGAGGGAAGAAAAAAAATCTTAGTACGGTACTGTCCCGAACAAGACAAAAAAGAGTAGTATGGATGGAATTGAATAAGGTGACAAGGCTATAAGTATGGTTTAGAGTATCGGGTACTGGCTCATCGATTTTTGGTCAGATGGGAGTGGGGGTGGTAAGCTGACGTATCGGTGAAGCCGAAAGTACAGTGCGATGACAATTTCAAAGCATAGGACATGATATGAACGGACTAAACTGGCAAGAGGTGGCAGCCAAGCAGTCCCCTCCCACCCCAACCAGCTCGAGGCGTGATCTCCAAGTTGACATTCTGCCAGACGCCGTCGTTGTCACGGCGGGAGACGAGGACTTTTAGAACTCTCTGTCAAGATATTAGAAAAGATCCAAGCCAGCAATCCGCCCATCCCCCAATACAGTAAGAAGTATCATACTCACCCCCTCAAACTTCTTAACCTCCCCAGAAACCCTCCCCAAAGCATCCTGCCCACCTCCTCCGGAAGTTCCATCCAGAGCCCCGACACAACCAAACCTCTTAACCAGATCACCGACCCTGACCCCGGCGACGCCCGCGGGACCGGCGGGCTCGACGGTATTAACCCTAGCAAACGGCGCCTCGATTATTCCCTCCGCAACCCCACTCCCACTCCCACCGCCACCGCCACCGTCACCACCACTAGCGGTGGGGACGGGAGCATCGGGAAGAGAGGCAGAAAGCGCATGCAACCCATGCAACCCCCTCTCGATCTCAGCCGTAAGCGCTTTATAGTCGTTCCGTAGGGGAATGATGCGAGCACGGGTGAGGCGGATCTGTGCAACGTCGATGTCATCCCTGGGGTAGCCATCGAACGTAGTCAAGGGGGTGGTCATCGTTACGCCGTGCTGCGAAGTGTGAGTTGGTGAGGGGTGTGTGAAGCGGGGGGGTGTGGGGGAGGTACGGAGTCTAGGACACTTCCGAGAGCCTTTAGTTCCGCTTCTAGCGCGTCGCGGCGGGACATTAGTGCCATTAGAGAGGCTTTGGAGGACTCTAGGGTTTTGGGGGGGTCCGCTGGGGAGATGGCTTCATTGCCGTCGGTGGAGGAGGGGATGGTGGGGGTGTGGATGTCCATTGTCCGGAGGCCCATGTATGGTAGCTTGTTGTCCTTTGTCGATGATGATGGCGGCTTGTTGTGGGCGTTCGATGTTTGCGATGCCGAGGTGGATGCTGATGGCGATGAAGCGTAAGGACAGCAGAGGACTCCCTCTCGTGTGAGGTTTGTTTTCCCGGCCACGATGGGATGGTGTATTTATCAGCACGGGTGTGTGGTACATTCGTGGGATTGGGGGAGAGTGGTTCCCGCTTTCGGAATAGTCAATTCTTGGCATGTAACCCCAGCTCGGGAGATCGACCCAGCCGCAGGATTTGGGAAGATTTTCGTTTAGGAAAGTTGCCCTGGGTTCGTTCGTTGTTTTTTATTTTTCATTTTTCATTTTTTTATGGGGGATCTGCAGTAATATTTTTTTTATTCATTATTTTTTTGCCCAATGGGTAACTTATATTATTTATTGTTATGATAATATTATTATTATCATTCTTTCCTGTCGGATTATTTCTTCCTCTTTTCTAGAATGCAGAATGATGATATCCTTTGCGTTGGGATGGTTGGGATGGATGGTGGCGGTGATTTCGGTAACTCGTTTCCATTCGTTGCTGTTGTGGAACAACGCAGCAGGAACCTGAAGAGGGAGAGATTCCCTTTGTTGGAACCAAGTGTTCCATCATATCGTAGCTCCAGCCAGTGTATGATATGATATGCCGTTTCCTGCACGTGTCGTGGTTGGGTGGACGCAGTGCTCCCCGATCTGTTACCGTTCCTCAGCCAGTCTGATACTGGTTCGGTGCGTTTCGGTGTGTCCACGGACTCTCTCTCTTCCACTGCGGTGACATCCCTACTGTATGAATACAATATGCGGACTGACGGACATCTTGTCCCTTTCCTTCCTTCCCCATGTTTTGTAGTAATTATGACGAAAGAAACCTTGGTGCACACATGCTGTCTCTGATCAATATCTCCATAGGCCGTGTTTGGCCTTTGCCAGCCACACTGCCTATTACAAGTAACTATACCCTACGGCAGCAAAGGCACTCTTCTTCTCTTGGGTGTAGCTTCCTCCTCCCAGTCCCCTCTCTCTGACCACTACCACCTCTCACCCCTCTCAATCCTGCTTCTCACCCTCCCCGCCTTATGGCGCCTACTCCTGTGGGATGGGTGAGTTATCGTAGTGACGCTGCCGGTAGGCCAGTCCGTCCATTCTTGTGTCTGATATTGGTAGCCTTTTATTCTCCCTCCTCTTCCCTTTTCATCACCTTCCCCCGTGCGCGTCTGATCCATTTCGGGCACTCTCTCCATTCGCGATTGCTGGATTGATCGCTCGCTTGCTTATTATACCCGTCTGTCTTGCCCTTGTGTCCTGTCCGTCTCTCTTTGCTCTGCCCCTTCCACACCTCCCTTTTTCTTTTCTTTTTTTTTTTTTTACCTTCCCCTCCCTCTTCCCTTTCCTCCCCTTCCCTATCTCATCCCGTTCGTCCTCGCTCGTCGTCTCCCTTTAAGAGTAGACTGCTTCGGCAGAGGCTGTCTCTCTCCCGCAGTTCCTCTCTCCACTTCTACTCTCCCCTCCCCTCCCTCCTTGTCATCCCTACCACCCCCTAATTTGGGGACTCGTGGTGCCAATTTTCTGGTGCTTGCTTGACTTGCCCGGATTTTGGTCATATTTTCTCCCTTCTTTTTCCCACAATTCGATTTTTATCTCTGGAGACGAAATTAGAAGTGGATAAAAATCCCTTCTTTACTTTTTCTTGGGCTTCTCTTCCAATTGTGTGGGCTGAATTTAGTTTTAGCGTCCGCAATACGTGCGCCTTTCAGCCAGCTTGAATTGGTGCTTCTAGCTCTCTATACCATACCTTTTACAGTATCATAGTTCATCGTGCCTTCTCCTGCCGTCTTGTCTTTTCTTCCCTTTCCTTTTCCTTTCCTTCTTTTTCCATTCTTTTTTTTCTTTTCCTTCACAAACTTGCTTTGTGCTTCGGTTTGCTTGATTGCTATGGCTCTTTCAGCATTGCCACGACCAGCCAGTGACAATGACTCGCTCTACTTTATGGAATCGAGCTCCAACTACTGGCATGTTGGTCAGTCCTTCTCCCCAGAGATTAAGGAGAGGGTCTCCACGAATTACAATTCCTCCTTGCTCACCGGATTGCCCATGTTATCCACGTCGCAGTCTCCCACCATTCCCCGGGAGGCATCACTCATGTCCATACGGGAGGAATTCCTGCAGATCCCGGGGCCCAATTCGTTTGTCAATTCGGTTGATGGAGGTGACGACAAGAGCTTAAGTGGGAGTTTGATTTCCAATGGCTCGATAGGGACCATGGAGACGGCTCCCCAATTTCCGGGCTCGCCACGTGAGCCCTCGGTAGCCTTCGCGCCTAGTGATACGAAGGAGCTACCTTGCGGTGCTCCTGGATTCCAGAAATGGCTAAAGTCGCTCTGCTGTAGGCGACTCTCTCTTCGGCCCAATGTTCACACGCCTTTTCAAGGAGACGACCCCGATGACGACGACTGGGCCGCCTCTATTTTTTCTCTAGGAATGGGCGACGAGGCAGATTCTTCCAGCTTCAAATTTGTAACAGCAGCCAAGACCGCTTCCATCACGTTTGCATCTATGTCCCTGGAAGATGAGTCCCCAAAGAGGAAGAACTCTGTCGCTTTGGACAGTGATACAATCGCAAGGATGAGGGATCGCAAATGCGCATTGGAGGAATTGATCAATACCGAGGAATACTATATTGCTGACCTCAAGGTTTTGGTTAATGTGGGTTTTTCTTGGTTCCATCAAAGGTACTGATGCGCTAACCTTTGGTAGCTCTACATGTCTATTCTCAATGATTGCGAGGGAATTCCTGCGGATATCAGGGACGCCATTACACGTAATATCTCTGAGATCCTATGTCTTCATGAGAAGCTGTTGGAGGAGATATTTCATGCACTCCCTGCAGCATCCCATCAAATTCAGACGTACAAGGGGAGGAGTTTTGACGTGGGCTCGCAAGCTGACGAATTTACGGGAAGCAATGTTTTGGCCAATCCCATGGCTGCTGCAAAAGTGGCCATGGTTTTTGATAGAATGGTGGGTGGCCGAATTTCTTATTTTTTTTCGTTGATATGCGAATCTGACTTGCCCTGCAGATCAGGGGCTTTTTTGTCTATGAAGAGTATTGTGCCAAATACGAGCTTGTTTGTGAGAAATTCAAGGAATTCCGTGGCTCTTCGTGGTCCCTGCGGGAAAGGGGATGTGAAACGCTTGCTGGTGCTATTAGCTCACAAGACAACAGAGAGGAGTATGGGAAACGAGCATTAGCACTGGCTGACATGCTGGTCAAGGTATGCACTGCGCACGAAGTCCATGCTCGGTAAAAGCGCTAATGTTTCCAGCCCATCCAACGGATCTGCAAATACCCGTTGCTGTTTGCTGAAATTGTAAAGTGCACGCCCGCCATGGATTGTCCCGAATCGAACCAATTGCTGGATAAGGTTCGCTTTCGGCTGGAGGAGGCTGCACACCAGATCAATCTGGCCGCTGTTAATGGACCGAAGATACGTGATAGAATGGAGAAGACGTGGCTTCTGCAGGATCGCCTCAATTTCAAATACAAGGTTAGCCCGGCGAGAGCCGCTTACTTGGGTATAGTGGTGCTGACTTGTTTAGCCCGACTGTTCCATTCGCCTTCTTGGCCAGATTTTCCTGTGTGGTGCGTTACATGTGGCATGGCAGGGGCCAACGATTCCAGTCGGAGAATATATGGCTTGTCTACTTTACAAGTCTTACCTTTTACTCGCTAGGGTACCAAAATCTGGTGGTACTTATGATGTCAAATTCGCAATATCCCTTGGAACTGCCCGAATGGAGGAGGCGAACCAGGGGCAAGGTATTCTTCACGTGATCTTTGACTTAGGTGCTCTATTAACGCTGATCAGGGTTGAATTGCTATTCTGCACTTTTTTCGTGGAAAATCATATTTGAGGCTGGACATCGGATTTATGAAGTGCTTCTGAGCGCTTGCTCGGCGACTGAAGAGGAGGTATGGCGGAATAGGATCGCCGAATGCATCGCTGAAGAGAGTAAGGATTATGACGAATATAGTTCGGCAAAGTCGAGTATAATTCCTGTGGTCATCTCTGATATGAGGTCTCTTGGCCATGTATTCGGACGACCTGGGACTCTGGCCAGAAGGCAGTCGTTACACCGTCCTAGGAGCACACCGCTGCCAAAGTCGGATGTTATTATCATTAACAATACTCATGCACTTTCGGAGGTGATTGGGCCGAAATCGACGTCGGGTCTGAGCAGGAGTGCTTCAGTACTCCATGCAGGCCAGATGACTGTCTTATCGCCCAAGCGCACCGAGAGGAATCGCATAGAGCTGAAGTTAACAGATGTCTGGACGAGGGATCAATTGGCTTATGGATTGATGGCAAGCGGGGGTGTCCGAAGGAGGGACGCAAGCAATTTAATGAAGAGGTTATCAGCAGCGAGTCTAGTCAGTAGTGCTAGAAAGTCTATGCATAGTCTGCACATGTCTAGCAGCTCATCAGAGGCATCGTGGACCCAATCGTGGGATATTGCAGGGGACGCGGATCCGGGGATATTAATGGGAGTGCCATTGAATGCGACGGATAGAGCCCGGACTCCAAATAGCCATCCACACGGGGTAGGCAGAAGGGGCTATACACTTTCCAGGGCGTTCTCCTTCTCAGGAAGGTCAAACGATTTAAAGAGCGTTCTGAGAAGGAGCGGGAGCTCAAGCCTGGAATCAAAATCCGAAGAGGCACTGAAGGGGAGTGCGAACGCCGCTGCCGAGGAATTAAAACCGGCGGAAGTGTGCATCTCCGTTAGTGGCCCTGACGAGGGAGCGCGACGGAAAAGGAGGAGTCTTCGTCCTCGTCGCCTACGAGGGCTAGGCTTGGACTAATGATGTCTTCGACACCGTGCGCTGTCCCGTCTGAATTCATGAGAAAGAAGCATCGCATCGCTATCATTTCCAAGAGGGTTGAAGGGGCTTGAACCCCTTTCTCTCTTGATTGACCCATTCATTCATTCGTTCATTTTATTCGTTTTTTCATTAATGCTTTCTTAGCCCCTCCTTCGCTTAGTAATTGTCTCTTCTATTCCCTTTTTTGTCTCCCATTTTCAAGTCTACACTACATTCATTGGGCGGTTCCCGCGTTTTTATCATTCGTGTTTTTGTTTGGCTGTTTTTTCCCTTTCTCTCGGTTATGCTATTTGTAAACGGATTACGAACGGTTATTGTATTATTGTTTTGGGCGCCTGTTCAGGAATGGGGTTGGTGTGGTTACTTGGTTGGTTCACCGGTGTCCCGGAGTTTTAGTTTTTTTCTCCCGTGGCTTAATTTTATTTACAGATTTCCCTTTCCCCTTTTATTTTTCTTCTATACGGTGCTTTTTATTATCCGATCCGTTCATTGATAGGTTTGTGTATACATACAAGTACATACATCTGGGTATATCATGGTTTCTCACTCGGAATGGTGGTTGGTGAAGTTGTTGATGCGAAATCCGGCGATACAAGAGGTCCATACTGGAATCCATGCATGCTAGCAATGGCGGGGTAAGTGGGGTGCGATATTATAAGTGTGGTTCTGGAAAGGAGAGTGCCGGCGCTCCACTCGTTGCGTAACGTAGCCGAATCCTACCTCCCCCACCCAAAGGAAGAAAAAAAGGGTAAAGGTCCAGAGAGAAACTGTACTCCTGATCACTACCGCCTCATGGCATCGCCCGTGTACTCGGCCCTGGGGTAGTACTGGTGATGTATATTATCCTATGATGAATGAATGAGTGTGATTGGTTCATACCGACTGACTGGCTAAATGCCGGCTTTCCGCCTCTAATATATCACGATGGAACTACAAACCGCTACCGCTACTACTGCGCTTTAATCGTCGTAGTTGTGAGATACTTTTGTAGCTTGGTGCCGGTAGCTAGGCATTGAAGAAGGAAGGAGGAGGGAGGAAGAAATTGAATTTCATCATCTTACAAACGAATTTACAATGATATCCATTCGTTCCCCACCGCCACCGATTCCCCTCCTTCCCCATCTAAAATCTGGCATGTCTCAACCCATTCATGAATCGACAACAAATCCTACCACAACCCTTCACTCGCGCCTCATCGTGAAACATCGCAAACGTACAAAACCCCAACTTCAGAATCCCACACGACTGCGAAGGAGAAGCGGGTGTACGCCAACCGGGACTCCAACTGTGCAAGCTCCTGAACGGACTTGCTCGCTAGGTCTGGCGTTAGTAGGAAGTCCCAGGCTTTTTGCGAGAATATGAGCGCTGTGCCTGGCATTGTGCCGGTTTCGTCGGCTAGGGATGGTAGCTATTTCATTAGCTTGATGGAAGGGGGATATGCGCGGGGAGGGGGGGCACTATGGATGGATTTGGCCACCAGGCGCAGACGCATTGTTGGCTATTAGTGGTACTGGTGTATGCGCACACATGTGTATTTGGTGCGGAGGTGTATACGCAATTCCCACCACTATTGTGCCACCCACAACCTCACCATCAGTATGGAATACCAAATCAGGGCAGTAGCAGTAGCAGTAGTAACAAACCAGGATCCTAAAAACAGCATATTCCGCTTAAACAGCAGCACCAGCTCCACACCCACAAGCACCAACGATAGATACCCCGAAATCACGACTCCCTCACCCTTAACCCGCTCCCGCGATTTTGCCCTCGAGCTCGCGTGAGCCGAGAACTCCGCCAGCGTGAACAGTAGCTTCACACCCGCCGCCGGCCACGCCACCGGGGGTAACTGAAGCCGCGTGTGCGGGTACTCCTTTAATAGGTGCTGGCGTAGGCCAGCACCCTTCGGAGAGGATACCGGCAGTGCGAGGAGGGTGGATCATCGCGTTAGGCTTATTTGGATGGCGCCGTTGAACATGCTCACCTTCGCTGATGTGATGTAGAGTGCTGTGCTGAAGGGGGCCCACCCTGCGGAGCTGGCTGCGGTTGCGGTGGGGCCCCAAAGGGTCAGTGTCCCTTCAGCCGTTGAGTCCAGGATTTGGATACGTAGGGAAGGGACAGAGGTTCCGGTTGTTGCGGTTGTTGTTCGGGGGGATCGCTGTGGGGATTATGTTAGCCCAGTAGCATAGAATGGGAGGAAAGGGGGTGGGGGGGAGGTATCGTACGGATTTGATGCAGACCAGCACGCCCACTGCTGCTACTGCTGCGGTCGTGTTAGTGGAAGTCGGGGTATGGCCGACCCTTTCGGAATATGCTTTTAGTGGGATTACCTCCCCGATCCAAACCACTTCTGGTTCCCCGGCATCCGCAACAATCTCAAGCCTCCCGCCAGAAACCCACCCACTAGCAACTCTTCCAAATACCCTCACTCTACCCCCAAGCGATAAACCGGGTTCATGGGCTGGGTAGTGCATTTTCCAATGCCCCCCCCCAGCGGTTGAAATCGTGATCACAGTCCCGCCCCCTCCGCTTCCACCCGCACCTCCGCCGGTAGTAGCAATGGACGAAGATGTGCGGACGTTGCTCACGCGGCCGTACCCGAGTAGTGGCTTCGAGCTGGCCTGCAAGCCCTCGGAAATGAAGGAGTCGCCGGGTATGATTTTTTGGGATTTTTTGGGCATGTTTGGTTGATTTGTTGGTTGGTTGTCGGTTGTCACGGCATGGGAATGGGGAAGTTACGGGAGAGGGAGGGGGGAGTAAGTCGGAAAGAATTAAGAGAAAAAAAGGTATATTCAACGCGAGTGATAATACATGTTTACCGCGGTAGCAGCGAAAAGAATGGATAAAAAGGAACAGGAACGCAAGCAATGCAAGCTTTGATAATATGGAAAAAAATAAAACAAAATTGTAACAAGCAAAACCCAGGATACTCCGATTTCCGAATGATAGAAAAAGAGGATATTATAAACCGCGCGCCGGACAAGAGCTAAAGAAAGAAGAGAAAACAAAAAAAGAGAAAACAATGCTATGTAATAAGTGCAGTGTACTTTTATGTGCACTTCCCTCCCAACCCCTTAGCAATACCATCTGTTGCTTGCTACCGTGCACACTGATAACCTTCGCCCAACTCCTATGCTGAAACGTCGATTTCTTCTTGACCCTTGTTTTCCGCCTCGGGTTTACTCGAGTCGGTTGTGAGTGCCTTGATCTCGCCGACTACTTCGTCCACGATCCCGCTCAATTCCCTCTCTGCAAATTCCTTGGCTTGTGTGAGGCGGTTGGTATCGAGGTCCATTTTCATCCCGCCCATCCTGCCGCCGACGAAGGGGATTTTGGACTCTGTTTTTTCTTCGGCCTTGGCAGCTGCTGTGAGTTCCTCCCTTTCCTTTTGGGCGCCATTGGGATGTTGCTCGATTTTGCTCTCAGCCGTTTCACTCTCCTCTTCTTCGTACTCCTCATCCTCCTCCTCTTCATCATCGTCTTCTTCGCCGTCTTCCTCTTCGTCTTCATCGTACTCGTCTTCCCCGTCTGCGTTCTCCATGTAGATTTCGGCCATCTCCCCGTGCTCTTCATAGTAGCTATCTGCCATCTCACCATCTTCATCCTCATCCTCCTCACCAGCTTCCTCAGCCTCGCTATCGCTAAACTCCTCCGGATCAGGCACTGGATCTCTCCAGTAGTTAAAGTCCGTATACTGCTCATCGGTGCTCAACAGCCCGACAGGCGGGAAGAAGTGATCGACAAGGTCCCTCATGTTGACATAAGAGCTCTTGTACTTTGTTAGAGTTAGCAGATCCAGTGAAACTTCGGCGTAAGAGTTGATAGTAAAAATCCTAGTAGAAGGGATGTTGACAGAGCGGTATGAGAGCGCGTCCGTGAGTCTGTTTCCAAATCCAGCATAGAATGGATTATGCCTGGCTCCGAAGAGATTAAGGATGTCTCGTAAACAGGCCATCTTGAATACTTCGGGCTTACGCAGATACACCTCCCTATGCCGTGTCAATAGATGTTCCAAACCGGGCCACAATAGTAACCCACCTTCTCAATGCCGAAAATGTCCGATCTGGGCTCATAATCACTGGACCCTTTGGTAGCTTGTACTTGTCCTGTACAATACCATTTAGGTAGTTCCTGGTGGTATCCGCCTGCCCAACCGACCGACTCGTCAGGTAGAGTAAATGGTACCCATTGGCTGCAATATCCGTATACAGCTTTGCAACACCCAAATGGGTCCAATCTCGCCCAATCATGGTCAGGACGTGTCCCAAGGCGTCGGATCTATTCACCCATGTTAGAGAGATCACTCTATTCCCAAGAGGAGTAGCTTACTTTGTAATAGTCCCGTCAATATCGGATATGACGATCGGGACATCGGACTTCCAAAGATACATGAATGCCGTACATGTCGCCTTGTTAACGCTAAAACTAATAGCATTAGCACCGGGCTTCAGATCCAAGCTCTTCAATTGCTCCGAAGTAAGTCTAAGAGTCTTTGCGTAGCTCTTTGATCCGCCCTCCTCCTGACCAGGAAGTGGAGGGGTAGTGGGTGGGGTCGACAACCGATCGATCCTCTTCTTTGCAGACTCGGAAGACGAATCGCTCCTCGCTTCATCCGAGGAATACCCCGCGTCCGAAACCGCATCAATCCCCTGAGAAATGCCTTCCTCTCGTCCAGCCTTCTCTTTCGCCTCCTCACTTGAGTAGATCCAAAGGTTCCCGTTCCTATCAGCCCCAATCAAAGAGCCAATATCATAGTCACCCTCCAGCTCCTCCGCCAGGATCTTCCGAGCAATCATTTCAGCCTGTAAGGACTCCTCCTGGTCGAGTTTGTACCCATTCATGTCCAACATGACGTCACCGCGATCAGTGATATGTGTTGGAATGTTACTGATGGAAAGCTTGCGAGAAAGGGCAAGCGCCCTCTCCACAGCCGCCGCGTGATCAATTGGCGGGGGCGAACGAGTGCGAACCGGCCCGCCCTGTCCTGACATGGTATACCGCCGAGTCGACGTAGGAAGTACCTCCTCCGAAGCGGACCGCTCGAGGTTGACAGCAGTCCCAGACCAATCACCGCTCGCCGGCCGAGGATTGTCTGGCGAAGAAGATAGTGGCGTCGCGTTTCCTGCCAGAGCAACACCCATCAGCCCTGGAACGAAAAAGAAAAGAAAAAACCACATCCGAACCTAGCTTACCAAAATCAGACCGGGCCCGTCTCGGATTCGGTAAAACATCCCCCGTGGAATCTGCCTTTCGCCCTGAAGTGTCGGCAATATTCAGGTAATCTGGCTCCTGCAGCGACGACGGTTCGGGGACCGAGGCCATTGACCGAGGGCTAGCAGACGGAGATACTAACGGCGAAGTTTGCATTTCAGGCGGGACAATCTGATTGGTTTCGAAAACGAAGAAGGCCTCCCCACCCTCGCCCAATTTCATGGAGTAATCGGTCTTCTGACCATTGACACGAAATTCGACCTGTCGCAGTCCCCACATCAGCTCTCGGATCGGATATTGTTCATCCCATCTCATGGGGAAATAGGAACCTTCTTCTCATAGGGCCGTAGCAAAGAAAACTTTCCGAAGCGAACGTGAAACGGCGAGCATGCGAGGTCACCTGAGTGGACAAATCAGTAGGGGGGTGGCGGGGGCGGAGGTTCCGGAGGGAGTACCGTTCTCCTGTTCAACGACTATTACGTCAATAGCACCACTCAGGGTCGCAGGACTGTAGAAGGGGCAATCAGCGAACAAATCTAGCGAGATGGATTTGAGATCACCAACTTTATCGAATTCCATGTCTTGGATACCGATCCACTGATACTTCGAACGTATTGCATATCGACAAGCAACAGGAGGAAAACGGGATGTTGACGGGGGGAGGGGGGCAGTTGGTGCGCCTGAAAGGACAGGAAGAGGATGGAGAAAGGGCGGGAGGACAAAGGAAAGGAAGAAAGAGCGGGGGAGCGGTTAAGAGATAACCGTCGAGGGGGTACAAGTACAGTAAGAGGGGAAAAAGTGGGCGTGTGATTGAGTGAATGTGTGGGTAAGTTATTGTTGTTGGTGTTGGTATGATATGGGAGTCTAGATGGCAGAAGGGGTATGATATTTAGGGTTGGCTAGCAGGAGGAAGGGGGGAAAGACATCGGGTGACAGACAACCCAGAACGGGGAGAGAGGACAAGTAAACTTAAGTACGATATGATATGATACAAGTGGGGATACAATACTGTACAGTAGGAGGGGAGGGGGCAAGCGCAAGGCTTAGCGGAGTATTGAGTAAGTTATGGGTAAGGGCATGGTATGTGAGGACAGGGAATGTAGACGGCAGACGGGGAGAATGCACGAAACGAGCCTCCTACTGGTACAGTACTGTACTCGTACAGTGCCTTCGTCGTACGGCCTTTGTCACGCCTCCTCCGCTCCTGTATTATTATATTTCTGAGGGTATCGCATTGCATGGAATTGTGCTCGCACAGTGCTGATACTATCGCTATCGCATCTTCTCACAACCGCCACCCACCTTCCTGCTTTCTTCGTCCCACAACCCTGATAAGTAGCGACAGATGGCGGCGTTTGTGTTGAGGCCCGAAGCATTCTGCGAGGTTGCGCTCCAACTCAAAGGCCAACTTACCGTACCTTAACCCAGGATTTTGTTGAGAACAGCTGAGACAACAGAAAAAAAAAACAGTGACTCTCAGCCACCGGGTGCTTATGCCCGACCAGATCCGATCTCTGACCTTCCCTGACACTGGTGATAATGCCTGCCGCCTACGAGTAATACCCCCCAGCGCCCAGCAACTAGATACCTTTCCATGGAACAGTGCCCTACCCCCTCCCCCTGCCTTGGTGAAGCATATAATTATCATGAAAGTGCAGGCACAAGTATCCCAGTACCATAGATGAGAAACTCCTCTTTTTTTTCCCCACAAATTATCACAAGCAAATCCCCGGGCATTCAATGCGGCTCCAGTTTGTGGCGCCCCACTCCAGATCTAAAACTCGGGAAGAGACTACAGGAAAAGGTTAGCAGCGACCCTCGCGCTATGTTCGCTCAAGTACATATACATTAGAGATATCATTTTCCTCTCTTTCCTACTGGGAACACCCCCTCCCGACACCTACCACAGATCATACCGGTACCAGATACCTAGAGTCTTCACCGGGGGGAGCATGGCGAAGCTGGGCTGATGGCGAACCGGGATCAATTGCAAGGGGCTTTTTTGTTACCCTGCTTCGATGATAGGACTTTTTGCCCCGAGTTTGCAATGCCCCCCAAGTGGAGACTGTGCTATCATAGTATGATATATACTTGTATAACTCCCACTTCAAACGCTCGTGTTGTGAGGGGGGAAAGAAACCCTAATCTAGACCAGTAACTGTGCGAATCCCAAGTGGTTCGGGGAATCATGAATTTTTTTCGGGTCGGACTTTGACGTTTTGCACTCGGGGTAGGTGATAGAACCGGTATGGATACTCGATTGTTGACTGTTGGGCTTAAGGCGGTGGGGGTTGGGGCACCAGGCACGGCGGGTGGGTGGTCAAGTTATTCCCTTTGGGCGCACCCCTGCGAATCCCGTGTTCCCCTACCGGTCATTCTGTTGATGAAATACATGTGAAATCACTCGCCTCAAAGATGACCTTCCAATTGTTGTTATCATGTATTATTATTACACCAAGAGTGGGTATTTATTGGGCACCAATACGGGTAGGATCACCGCTTTACAGCCCCGCAAAAAAAAAAGGAAAGAAAAGAAAAGAATAAAAAGGCGGATATCTGCACTCGTAAGTGACCACAACAACTGCAATCAGCGCCCCGAGATTAAATGCAAGATATGAGTGTGAACACCTGTATCACTATCCTCCAAAACCCCGCCCTGATGCACATCTCAAATTATTATTCGCGTTATATATACAAGACCAATCGCGGCGAGTAGTTACACAATCCTGCGCCGAAATCATTGATGTTCTTCTATTGCATTCTTCTGCTCCCAGTGCCGTTGTCATGTAAATACCGGTACCGACGCCGGTTTGCTGTGTTCCCCCCCGATCTCAACGGACGCTGCACTTACAGCACTCCCCCCCCGCAAGTTACGAACGCGACTAGTAACTTACGTGGAGAAACATATGAACGTTTTCCCCGCTATACCCCTAACTTGGTCCTTCTTTCCCCGCCAATTGCCTTTCTCCGGGGCCCTAGTATTCCGCTATCCTACTGTGATCTGCTTGGTGGGAGTTTGTGGCCGACCGACACTCAACTAATCTTACGACTTGGTCTAGTAGACTACCGGTGATAAATGCGGGCGGTGTGTAGTACCGGTTCTGTGCCCGCTGCCGCTTGAAAACAATTTCGAACTTCCAAGGGAGTAACGAGAAACGGGCTGCCTGGCAGTAGTGCGGTACTTGCTATTGGTACATGGAGGGTCAGCTAAGTACCGGTAGGATTGAGCGATATTCCTTCTTGCAATCATTTGATAGCAGACAAAGGGATTCAGACCTCGTTGAGTAAACCTCCTTAGAGCTAGACAGATTTCTGCCGGGTGACTCCATGTGCTCAGAGCACCGGCAAATTTAATAAGCGGCCCTATAGATTGTTTAGACCATGATAGTACTGTACGTGTAAATAGAAAATCTGTCTTTTTTGTTCATGAAATACTCTGTCCTCCCGACTATCATATCAAGGCTCAGTATTATTACTGGGGTGTTCTCCCGAATATTTGTGTGAAACACCGTTCTCCCTTCTCATTGCATGTTCGCTGTGTCGATAGCGGGGTAAATTATCGCATCGAACAATCACAAAACAGCACCTGGCACAGACCGACCACTCTCGAGCTTGCTGACTAATATTCTCGTCGGTAGGCAAACTCAGTTTAATCGCTTTCCACCACGAGCCTTCTTTACGATTACTCCCCCTCCTCCCCCCCTCTTCCCACTGTTCTCCTTGGCCGTCGAAATGGCTTTCGTAGCGCTAGCTACATTAATAGCACTGATATGGTTTGTTTAGCCCTATTGATCTTTCGAAATGGCTACTGATCGCGCTTAGGATGTGTTACCGTGCATCCTCCTTGTTCAAAATCCCCATTCCGGCCCTTGTTAAACTGCTTGGACTTGATCTCCCTGACCCTCCACGAGTATCGTTACATGGGATTGCGGCGGATACGATCACGCTTCACTGGTCACTACCCGAGAAGGCTGGTTCTGTGGCGAAACATATCATCCAGATTAACGGGATCAATGGTAAGGCTATAACCCATCGCTGCCAAATTTCTATCGGATAGGGCTGACTAGGATTCTTCTACGAGTAGTTGGTGAGAGTGAGAAACGGGGGGAAACAAGTGTCACAGTTACCGGGCTAAATGCGGATCATCTTTACAATGTCCGAGTTATTGCTGCGAATTCTCAGAATTTTCAGGCTCCGGGTCAACTGATCCGTCTAAGGACCCGTCGAGTATCGCAGGCTTCAAATGGGGGCGCGCCACTTGCAACTGGACGTGATTCAAGTGACGATTTACCGGCGATCCATGCCCTACCGCCAGCCCTGGAACCTCAGCCACCGCATCACCACCATCACCATCATAGCGCTAGCGGCAGCGGCAACAGCAACGGCAACAACAATAATAGTACTAGTAATCATAGGAGGGCTGCAAAGGAAAGGAAGAGTTCCCCTGCTTCGCTAGGACAACAGGGCCAGACCGAACCCCCAGCCGAAGAACAGCACACTGTTGAATCACTTACGGCTTCATTGGAGATTGTGAGACAGGAGATTGCTGAAACGGATGCTCAATTAGCGCATACAGAGGAAGAATTCAAGGCCGCAGAGGCAGTACTACGCGGTGAATTAGATCTCTTGAAGGAGAGGAAGAATGAAGAGGACTTGGGGAGACAGAAATTGCGTGCGGAGACGAGGGCATTAGAGGAGGGAAAGCGTGCTTCTGAGGCGACTCGGTCGAAGACGGAGAGGGCATTGAAGAGCAAAGAAGATGAGATCAAGAAAATGAGAAATGACTCTCTGCGATGGGATGAGGAACGTGTTGCAGCCCTACAGAGGGTCAAGGAGCTATCCAAGGCTGCAGAAGAATCTAGGAAGCATGCGCAGATCACAGAGCGGGAGCTCCAAGAGGAGATGAAAGAGACACAGAAAGCGATCCTTGAGATGGAAGAAGAAATAAGGACTCGTGCTGGAAGCATCAAGGTACTTGAGGCACAGAGAGAGCTATGGAAAGCAGAAGAGGAGGTCGAGAGCAAGAAGATGGCCGAAGATGAGCAAAAGGAGATGGTGTGGAAGGAGCGTCAAAGGCACTTGGAGGTGCGTTACATTACTGTTTATAATGCATATCAAGTGGTTAGTTTGCTTAACCTCAAGCGATATATCTACGAGTGATGCTGACTGAACGTAGGCCGAATTCGATTATATGCGGTCCAGAGATGCATTTCTGAGCTCTCAAAGCCGGCGAGGGAGTGCTGGGACAGATCCCATCGTCCTTCCTGCGAAAAAGGCCAAGCAACGACGAAATCGTAACCGCAAGTCCCGCACTCAGACTATCTCTAGTCCCACGGGCGCTGTGGCCCCACAAGACGCTCGCTTCCCAGAAGTTCCTGCTGGTGGCATGTCTATTGGCCAAATGAATACCCCATTCTCTGGTGGCGTGAATCCTAGTCCCTTTTTCAACATTGCGAACGGGACTGTAGGAGCCCCAACGGAACCCCCTGGGCCGCCCCTCAAGGCTTCATTTTTCGTGGATCTTGATAGAATGGGTGGGCGCGCGCCTATGAGCCCTACCGCAAATTCGCTGCTGCCTTCAAACCTGTTTGCGTTCGATGACTCTCTACCTAGTCCAAAGGGCAGCGCTTCACTCCTTGAAGATGGCCAATCACGATATTCTGGTATCGACCCGCTTGGCTTCATGGCTCCTCAATCGCCCATGTCGTCGGGCTCGGTATCCACTCATGTTTCGTCTCCGAGAAGTAGCTTTCACCACATCCCCATGTTCCCAAACATGTCTTCGGATGGTAATCCGGGTGATGCCGAGCGTGGCAATAGTATACCACTTCTTGACAGCGGGCTGGGTCAACTAGGTTCAAGTGAAGAAGAGAACATTTCAGGTGGTCGGCGTTTCGTCAAGTTGTTCTCTCGCCAGCGCGGCAAGACTATTCCGCTGGACGGTGGGCCACCACTTGGGTCGCTGAAACCGAACGAATCTCATTCGTTCCCGAAAGGTCCACATCCACCTGGCCTAGATCCAATTGGCACAAGAAGACGCAGTGGCTCTTATGGAAGCTGGACAACGGGCCTAGAATTCCTCCACGGCGGGCGCAAGAAGCCTCTCGAGAGGAATGATAGTAGCAGTAGCCGGCGCTCTGGTTTCAATCATTTCAGTCCTAGCTTCGATCCCATAGAACCCGGCAAGCTCTTGGACACCACCGTATCACCCCGCCCTTCTTCGATCGCTTCCTTCGACAACCTCCTCCCCGCACCATCCTCCGACGTTTCCGCGGCTTTCGGCTGGCCCGCCGCACCACCGGCTATCGAGCAACCTCGGAACCGCGTGAGTCTACTAGGGGGCCGCTGGTCCGACTTTGCCTCCAGCAGACCGAACCCGGGTCGGCCCATTTCCCAACCGATCTCACCCAATGCAAGCACATCAATAAACAATCTCTCCTTCTCCAACCTCCTCTACCAATCCGCACGCCCGGTAACTCCAAGACTGAACCCCGCGGCGCCAACCTTCGAAGCCCCCGCCGCGCTAAAGGAGGAGAATGCATCCTCCGCTATATCCATCAATACGGATACGTCCAATACTTCAAACGTATCCGAGACGCCGAAGGACTCACTGCTGTCCAGATTCTCGGCGCTAAGCAAGAAGGGCAGCACAAGTAAATTCAACATATCCTCCGCATGGAAGAAAGAGGGGGGCTTCTTTTCCAGGAAGAGCAAAGACAGCGACGTCGAGGATGGTGAGGAAGGTCCCGCTACAAGCGCCACGTCCACTCCGCTCATTGGCAGTGGCGGCGGCGGCGGCGGTGGTAGTGGGATGGGGGGCGTATCCCCCCTGCCATGGAAAGACAAGTCCGGCTTCTTTGGACGCGGGAAGAAGAATGAGGAGGAGGAGGAGGAGGAGGAGTTGAAGAGCAGTAGCGGCGGCGGAAGTGGCTTCTTTGGAACCATCGGAAGGAGGAAGGTTGACAAGGAGGGTGAGAGCAGTGCTATTGGCGAGAAGGAGAAGGAGAAGAAGGAAGGACTGCAGGGGATTTTCGGAAGGAAGAAGGAGAAGGAAAGTGGTGATGAGAATTGATGTTGCTTTGTTGGGTACCTCTTGTTGAAGCTCATTAGCCTCTCGCTTTACTGTACAGTAGATTGATATATATCTTGGTGGGTCCGGGATGGGATGGGAGATATATCGCACTCTAGATGATGTCCTTGTGCGGATTGTACTGTATATATAACGTATCCTTCAAGATCACTTTCGTGTCCCGGTGTCGTCTCATAGTAGCTCCGCGTCCATCCATCCAAGATTGCCCCACCGCGTTTCCAGCATCTCGCCGAGCCGCAGTGTGCGGGCGCAGACTCTAGAAGCGTGGCTGGTATAGCGGGGGGATCGGGAGTGATTCGTCATGATTCTCTAGATTTCCTATAGTACCGGATATATGTAACAGTTTTGGGGATCGCGTTCCGAGTATGATACTCCCCAGCCGGGTATACTGCGCATATCACAGATCGAGGATGTTTCTGCGGATTGGGTTTGTTGCGGTATCGCGCTGGAATCGCTGATACTCATTGCTACCCGCGGAGAACTATATATACTCTTTGATTGGAAGACACCCCATCTATCCATCCATCCGCTCGCCCATCACGCACATCCATTCATCCATCAATCCCAAATACTAAAAAAAAAAAAAAAAACTCAAGCCGAGTGACATCCCATGATGTAATTCATCCCACATCTTCCATCATACCCCCATTGTCACAGGCGCAATCCAGAAAAAGTGGCGGAAGAAGAGTCGAAAAGACTAGGGAATGTTCCACGCACGTTGGGGTGAGGCTGCCGTATCTGTTAGCTCCACTGCGCTCACACGATGTGCTTCCTGAGTATCATAACTGGGGATATTTAACTCTCGGTTTGTAAGTATCCATACGGTAAATATCTATGGATGACGCACAGTCCAGTGGATCGGGGATGCGCCTCTCCTACCGTTTGCACAGTTTGCATGTTCGCACATTGGCTGGTATGCCAGCGCACCGGTACAGTACCCTCCGTGACGGGTTGCACGGAGGGTCGAGTACGCACTGGACCATGATATGATACTCGAGTACTGTACTGTACAAGTACTCGGTGGGTTCATTAAAAACCGGAACAAGCTTCTCTTCCGCTATTTTCCTGACCCCGCTTTTCACCTTCCTGTTTGGGAAGGTGGTGGCGGTTGTCAACACCAAACTCTACCACCTCACGATCCTCTCTCCTGTGCTGAACTTTGGAAGCTTCATAAGCCTGGACACCAAACCTCATTGTGAGGCTAAATGAAATTTTCACCCCCTCTGGTGTTGGACTTTGGGTCCCTCTGCCAGATTGTGGTTCCTGTTCTCCCCCTCCCTCCATGGTGACCATCTCGGCTATAGCTGTGTAAGGTTGCGACTACTCCTCCGCCCCTCTGGGTTCTTTTGCTTGGTCAGGTTTACTATTTTACCAATTTCTGGGTTACTCGGCAACGTGTGGTTGGGATTGCACTGCCTCCGGTCATGCCCCCATCCGACCAGATATGAACGATCACTCTACTGGGGGCCGGCACGTCCAGGTCGGTTACCTTTATCACATAAAGCGAATGCATCATGGTTTTCCCCTATATTCCTAGCTGCTAGCCAAGGCTGGACCAGTTGAAAAATGGGGAACGTGGTTTATCAAGGTGGTTTTCTTTGTTGGGTTTCTTTTGTGTTTCCTTTCTCAAGAGAATGCGGTATGGGTTTTCTTGTTGGCTCCTGCCGGTCCTGTTTTGTGCTTTTTTTGTTTTATGCAGAAGGAGCTTTTATAGGGGCGGATGTGCAGTTGGTCCCATACCAGAGGGACTTGGGCTAGCTTGTTTTCCCCTAGGCCTGTGGAGGAGGTTTTTGACCAGCATGTCTAAGGACTAAATTGGGGGTATGGGGCGGTTATTGCAGAGGTACCCTTGTATCTAGGATCCATACTTTAGTCGGACTGTGCTCTTATAGTGGAGGTTTGCACCTTTAAGCAAATAGATTCTACGATTTAACAAAAAAAAAAATCATTAAAAACCAGAAAGGGGGGTATCTCTGTTGGGATCGCCAAGCAATAAGAACTCAAGAAAACTTGGAAAGTATTTGCAGGGATTAGCTTTCATAAACCCATAGGACAAAAAAGAAAATATAAAACCTATGATGATAAGAAGAGTAAGAGGCTTGCCCGTGTGACTAGAGAATGAGGTCAGTGATGTTTTTTCTTTACAAATTTCAGTGTTTAGGTACGGCTACAATAGAACTTAAGAGGGTCATTGAAGTACTGGTAAGATGCTCACAAGTTAAGTATATATATTCTGGGTCTGGTATGAAGTTGAGAACTTTAAGCAAAATCTTCAAGTCCATGTTTCATTTAATCTCATAATGACTTCTCTAGTTCTGAGTCTCCCATTACTTCAAGAGATACAAGATAGCCCTTCACTGGCAGATGGAGAGTCTGATAGCTCTGTCAATACCCATTCCACTGAAAGCCCAATGCCTGCGGAGCAAATCACTACAGACTCGGATGAAGATATCTGGAAGTCCATTCGTGCATTATGTTTTTATGCACAGTGGACCTACCCGCACCTGCAAGAGGTTTTCAAACTACCTCTTAGTACACTCCACCGTATCATTCACAATAGTGATGGCGCCCAGTCCCAGGAACTATCACTTAGTCGAGGCCGGCCACCAATCGTAAATTTCGGTACACAGTAGCTACTAATCAAAATGGCAACTGCAAATGCCCATAACTGTAGGCTTCCATATACCAAAGTAACCGAACTTGCTGGGATCCAACTCAGCAAAGCGACACTCAAAAAGTTGTTTCACAATACTGGCTATCACAGATGTATTGCCCGTACGAAGCCTTTCCTTTCTACCAAGACAAAAGAGAAACAGATGACATGGGGAGAGTGGTTTCAGGATTGGGGTATGGAGGACTGGAGTGATATTATCTGGTCCAATGAGTGTGCTTTTTCAGTAGGAGATGTTTGCGGAACAACTTGGGTTACACGGAGGCTGGGCGAGGAGTACAAAGAAGACTGCTTAGTTCCCTGTTTTCCACACCAAACAACAATTATGGTTTGGGGTGCAATATATTGCAATCAAAAAGGGCCACTAGTTGTCTGGGATACATTTAGCTGGGGGTGTATCAATGGTTCTACATATATTGAACACATTATACGCCCTTGCTTGTATCCTTGGTGGCAATCTCTACACTAAGCAGGAAATACAATATCTGGATACGTATATTTTCAACAAGATGGTGCTCCTGCACACCACTCCTGCCACGCTCTAGAAGTACTTCACAAACTCGGAATTGGAGACTACCTCTTTCCTTGGCTGGCTTCCTTTCCAGACATGAGTCTGATTGAAGCCATTTGGTGTCTTCTAAAGCGCCGTATCTCCAAACGCTATCCACGCCCAACTACTGTTTCCACACTCCATGATGCTATCTTTGCAGAGTGGGATAATATTACCACTGCAGAGATTTCCTGACATACAACCTCCATGCCGAATAGGGTTTCAGACCTTTTAGCAGCTAACGGCGGACATACATCTTGGTAGAATATAATAGCTAGTAGCTTCCTTTCTCCTTCTTACCCCCCCCTTACTTTTTTTTTCTTCCATTTCTACTCTTGTCTAATCCAAGTTCTCCATTCTCTTTTCCTCTCTATTGCCTGGCCCGGGTGAAAAATACTATTTCAAAATATGTGATCTGTGTTTGTATGGGCGCTCAGATATGCACTGATTTTTTATCCCGCTAATCTCTATCCCACTCCCGCTTCTGAACACTCGCTGTCCACAACGAGCACCATTTCCCCTCCTGTCCCTAGTCTCAGTCATGTCCCTACCCCCTACCCCCAGCCCCAGCCCCATTCCTGCACCCATTTTGATCCTGTTCTCGATTTACTGTCCAAATTTTTTGTCTTATTTACGGCCTTGATTTTAATCCCCTCCTGCTAGGTATATGCTTTATGATGTTCTTAGTATTATTATGTTATTTACTGTCACTAGTGGAATTAGCTTTTACCTTTCTCTTTTCTTGCAGGACCTGTGTTTACAATTCCCGAAGTGTTAAATTTTTCCATCATAGCCAATCACTTGGTGCAACCGTAGTTGTTTTAAGATGTCCCATAACCCCTCTCTTTTTCCAGACATTGTAATCGTCCGATCGCCCCCAGGTCTGTTTCACCGCGGCTAGTTTCCGGTTTTTAATGAACCCACCGAGTACAGTATCGGGGATGAGGGTAGTCTACCGGTCCTCTGATCGGCTCCTAGACCAATCAGACAGCCAATTGAAAGGTCGAACATAACTGTTTCGTGAACTGTTACACTGGACGCCAAGAGTTTACCCAGCCTTGGGAAGGAGGAAGAAGAAAAGAAAAAATAGGGTCAAGGTTGGCACTCCGTACGGTACCGGTATGGCTTCACAATCCCCAATTCTTTCCCTGTAAAATTCGAGTTCGCCTCACCTTTTTTTTCTGCTTTTTCCTCTTCTCCTCTCCTTTCCTTTTCGGGCTTTTTATTGTGAAGCCTGATCATATCATTTGCGTGCCTCGTCACGTTCGGACCCGTTGGAAAATTGGGGATGTCTTGCGAAATTGACAGAAAATCTGTTATGAGAATATGACACAGAGTCTGTAATTATTATCAGATCTCCCACAACCGTTATATCACCCGGCATCAGCAGACAAGATAAGTATCACACTCCAGCATATTGGTTACAGGCTATTATACGTAATTCCACTAAGGTTATGATCAAACTTTTTACTCTCTTAAAAGGACAAAATAAAGAGCTACAGGCATCCTATATTAAACTAAAATTGAAGCAACATTGTTACCATAGTGGTAGATAGCCATTTCCTATTTTAATTGTTGTTAACAATTTCTTCTCCTTTATATATCTACCTCTGACTCATTCTTGAATTTCATGCATAAACAAATCCTAATACAGGTTTAAATATGTAGCTAAATTACATTTCTTTACAGCATTCCTCTATATTTATTAGCCTTTTTTGTATTATCTACTTATTTCTGATTTTAATGTTTTGATAATTTTTCCATGGAACTAGGTTTTCACTTGAGATAAAAGAACTTTAAAAGTAAAGTAAAACTCATAGGTAGACATGATAAACAAACAACTTTTTTGTACTATATTTAAAAATACAATAATATTATAATCTTTATGGTGTACTAAAAAAAGGTCAATCATTCCCCTTTCTGCAAAACAGAAATGAATTTAAATCCTAAACTAAAGTATAGAATAATTTAAAATATATACTAAATATCTCACTTTATTGCATTGTAAAATAGCTCACCTCTAAACCCTGAAATGTAATGAAGGAATATTTGGAGTATGTTACTAGTTAGTCAATAATATTATCAAATACTTATCTATATACTTTTACTATCTATTTATTTTTTAGTAAGCAAGAGGTAGAGAGTGTGGTAGGGTAAATCCTATTTTCTTATATACCTGGCTTGGCATTTCTGAGAAAGGCCTATATAAAGAGGTCCATCACCCCACCTCCTTCTCTTCTTTCCTTATCCACTTCTTTCACTCTTTCTTCTCTTATAAGCAGTACTACACAATATAATATACAATACCACATATATTACTCAATTAACAACACATAATACTACAACAAAAAATTTATACAACAAAGTACTGGTGGGAAGGAAATATAGATAAGCAGGTGGGAGGGCATTTACTAACAGGAGGGATGGAATTATAGGTGGGTTGGTAGGAGGACATTTACTAACAGGAGGAATGGAATTATAGGTGGGTTGGTGGGAGGGCATTTACTAACAGGAGGGATGGAATTATAGGTGGGTTGGTGGGAGGGCATTTACTAACAGAAGGGATGAAATTATAGGTGGATTGGTGGGAGGGCAGTTACTAACAGGAGGAATGGAATTATAGGTGGACTAGTGGGAGGGCATTTACTAACAGGAGGGATGGATTTATAGGTGGATTGGTGAAAAGCCATATTCTAGTATACTAGTAGATAGGAGAAAGCCACTTGCTTTTATGGATTACTTTTTAGTAATCTGTAATGATTTCATGGCAATATAAATCTCAAAAGAGAAGCCATAGTACTGTAAATCTATGTTGTTTTCTACAACATAGATTTACTTTACAAGGCTACATTTATCCTAGTTGTTTATTTTTTAGGAAATAGGAGGTAGTAGTATTGAGATATTGATTTGGAAATATAAGATGTATAATAAGTCTAATAATGGAAGTCATGTTCTAATAATATTAATATTATTTACTTTTCTTACTGCTTTCTCCTTTGCTGACTTGTTCAAGTTCATCATTGTGAATACACATACAAAATACACATACAATATAAAGGCGTCAAGCAAGTTCACTTCTGGTCAGTATGATAGATAATCGAGGATGAGTTGAATCGGTTCATTATCACAGAGATTCACGAGGTCCAGGGTGGATGCATGCATACCTTGCCATTCGGGTAGAGTAGTATTTCTTCCCTCACAAATTTCCCCCCCCAAAAATATATCTTTCTCTCTCTCTCTCTCTTTTAATAATTATCCTTAGATCCGAGCTTTAAATTCCGCTTCAAAAATTCACTCCGCCAGTTCTTGTTACTGCCTGAGAAGCGTTCAAAGACAAGACACTTTCTTGGCGGGCATACTGTATAAACCTCCTAGTGACGATCTAGCGAACCGTGTCCTGGAGCTGGCAAATTCTCCTACCGTGGTTAACCTTTTTTTTTTTTTTTTTTTTTTTTACTGCACTCAGCGCCATTTCCAGTTCAAACCAAATCAACGCGGTACTTGTAGCTTATGATGCTTATTCAGGCGAATGGGCAATTACCAAATCCTAGATACTGGGTACGAGTACTCAGACCCAGGTCGCAGGCTCTTCTTACTCTCCACATGGCGAAACATGATATTGTGAGTATTCGGGATAAATGCAAACTCAGTTGTTTGTATCCCATCCCACTAAACGTCTACTCGAGTAGAATAAGACAAACGAGTAAAGGCTCCCCTGAATATATTGACCGACTCATCATCCCCTTCCCCCCTATCCTCCTCGAATCTGACAGTAGACTAATTTAAATTTACATGATAATATTATGTGGAACACGAAAGCATAGATTACAAATTCACATCATAACCCTAACTAACTGTCACAACCCAGACAAGCCAAGTTTTTAAGCATCTTTTTCCGGATCGGGTAGGTATAGCATGATTAGAAATACTCGTACGCAACTTGTGGGGAATTTGCCTGCCGCGTCCGCTTAAATCTGCCGAGGCCGAAGGCGGGGGGTGGGGGAGGGGTTTGGAAGTCATCGGATTTCGGGGAGTACGAGTAACTTACTGCAACTCTGCTCCGATACGTTCCTATTGTGATAAGCTCGGTCGGTCATTCAAAGTACGATATCATACCGCAAAGGTCAAATATTGCGTTCGCTCCAATGCCAAACCCGTGGAGTACGAACCTTACTTTACTACTGGTACAGTACAGTACAGTACAGTACAGTACGTACCGGTACTTAGTCCAGGTTTACCCACCGTACCTCTCTCCAACTCGACTAAATAACCTTCTATCAACATTGCATATACCACGCAAACAGCACCATCCGCACGGTCTCCTCAACTATCAATACCACCGATACATCACCTCCCTCCTCCTCCTCCTCCTCCTCCTCTCCGTCCTTCTCGGGAAGGAATATCCCTTACCACACCACGTAAGGGATACGATACGCTACCCCCTCTAACCGTCTTTATTCGCCCAATCAAGCTTATTATTAATTTAACTCAGACCTGCGCCCCATGCTCAAGCTCATGCTCAATGACGGCCCCACTGGACTCCAACCATCCAACGTTGTAGTGCGATAATAAATAATGAAAACTGGACTCTTTACCATATCTAATCCTTTGGGGACCTCGCAGGAAAGGGAGGGAGCTCCGTTTAGAAGTGGGGTGAGTATGAGTACAGTACAGTACCGGTAAGCCGGTGGCTTGCCTATCATAACCGCCAGGAAAGGCTGCTCTTGGCAGTAGGGTGCTCCACTGCACCACCGTACGTAGTCGTTGTGAATTGGTTTGGGCTTCCAATGAGTCAACTGCTAATGTGCTGTGATATCGATACCAGTTCATCATCCCCCCAACTAAAAACTCAGATATAAGCTCCTTTCCCTCCGAAACTTCGGAGGGTTTTTTCTTTTCCTTCGCCCACTTCATCCTTGCGAACTGAGCTATATATATATATATATATATATACAACGGGTACTCGTACACAAGCAAATTTCAAACAAGGAGAAGAAAACCACCCTCTCGGGACCCACAGGATCTTCATAAGCCACGATACGGCACAGCGCTCGGCCTACGACGTTTGTTGCCTTGTCCGGACTCTTGCAGGTTTCGCCAATACTCCAATACCTTCACCTCGCTGAGTATTACGGACAAGACGGCAAAGCGAATTGATATCGTTGCCGGTCCGCCATACGAACAGGAAAGCGGAGCGCCAAAAGCATACGATACCCCGCTGCCTCTTTTTGCTGCTCCGAGAGCCGAGAGGGAGAGAGAGATCTTGTGCACTTCAATACAATCCCACCCCACCACTACTCTCAACTGCGTCCCAAACTTTATATAACACTTCCCGAATCCCCGGTTTCTCTTAACCCAACGTCCCCACCCATACCTCCTCCCCTCCCCTCCGATCGCACCCGTAATACTGGCATCATAGCAGTGGTGCTCCTGCTGCCAACCAACCAACCAATCAACCATGCCCTCCTCAATATCAACCCGCGCTTCAACCTTCAGCACCTTCTTGACCACCACCACCACCGCCACCATTAGCCCATTCTTAAAACCCCAAACAAGCATAAGCATAAACGGCGACAATGCCCTGAGCGCGTACCGCACACAGCCAACTTACACCACGCACTCGCGAATAACCGGCACAGTGCAGGTGGTGTCACCGAATTGCGACGTCCGCTTCGACGAGGTGCTCATCACCTTCGAGGGGACGACAAGAACATGGTTGGACAGGCTAGGCCCCACGCCCGCGAGTAGTGGACGAACGTACACCGAGAAGACGGTTAGCAGCACCAAATTCCTCCCCCCCACCCCACAGTAACACAAAGCTGACAAATGACGCTCGAAACAATATAGTTCCTGAAATTGACACAACCAATCGACGACACCCTCCTGCCCATCCCCCGCCTCCTAACGAAATCCAAAACGTACACATTCCCCTTCGAATTCGTCATTCCGGCGAAGCTCCTACCAAGCGCCTGCTCCCACCGCCATTCCACCTCTGGGCAGGAGACGACGGAGTGGGAAGAACACCTCCAGCTCCCCCCCACTTCTGGCGACCCCACACTCCCAGACGCGAACGGGGCCCTCGTCGACGACTTGTTCCCGGACATGCTAAGGATCGCGTACTCCATAAACGCACGCATAATCCGGCGGCGCGAGGTAGACAATAAACCACTGGTCTTATCCTCCAGCGCAAGGAGAGTCCGAGTAATGCCGTACGTGGAGGACGCACCGCCAATAATGCTCGACAGCGATGGAGCAGCAGGGGGAGTAGGAGCAGGAGGAAAAAGGTACGTGTTAACGAAAGAAAAAGACGTCAAAAAATCCCTCTTCAAACCCCGCCTCGGCCGTCTGCAAGTCTCAGCCAACCAGCCAACACCCCTCCATCTACATGATCCGAACAAACCCTCATGCCCAAGCACCACAATGATCCCAATTTCCCTCCTCTTCACGAAAACAACCCCCTCCTCCTCCACCACCCCTCCACCAAAGCTCTCGACAGTAACCACAAAACTCCGCACCCACACCACCTTCTCCACAACCCCACAACCCCACACCCTACAGCAGGGCACACTGGGACTGGTGGGGAATTACTCCGCGACGCAAACGCTCTCCACCCGGTGCATCGCGAATACCCCCTGGACTGGGAACGAAGCGAAGCTGAGCGTACCGGTTTCCCCGCCGAAGGGTGTAATGCTGGTCCCCAGCTTCAGTACCTGTCTCGGAGCCAGGAGTTATGTTCTCGAGGTCATCATCGGGGTGCACAACTCCTCGTCCATAACGTTGAGGATTCCGCTGCAGGTTTCGTTTCCCCCACCCGTGGGGGCGGGGGATGGGGTTGGGGTTGGGGTCGGAGTGGAGGAGTACTTCACACCCAGGAGCGTCGCGCCCCCGTCATCACCGGTGGCCGAGGAGGAAGAGGAAGAGGAGGTAGTAGCAGTGGAGAGGGAGGGGCAGTTGCCGCCGCATATGAGACCCCGAGCGAATCTCCCGCCAGAGCGGTTGCCGGCCTTTGCCTTTCCGCCAATGGGTGGGGAGGGCGGAGTCGTGAGGATTCCATCCCCCGTGGGGATCTCGCCGGGGTGTGGGTAGATGTCAGAGTGATAATTAGTGATTTTCATCTTGTTTTTATCATTCTCACCCCATCTCCTTTTGGCTTTTTGGGAGTTTGACGAGGCACGACATGCTCGAATATTACCATAGTTCACCAAGTTTTAGCACAACATGGCGTAACGTAGCCTAGCCTAACTTGTAATCTCAACAATTCAATACCACAAATATCACACTGTATTCCCCATTTACTCGCCCATTTCCGAGCGCTGTATGATGAGAATCACCCCCCCCCTGACCTCACATGCCAACACCCGGCAAGCCCCCAAATTTCGACCCCCCCCAAGCTATTACGAGTACTGTATAACGGGACGGTATCATGCAGCGAAAAAGAAAAAGAAAAAGAATGGTTGACTGTAACCACCCCATCCAGCCCCCAAGTCAAAAAAGTAATAAGAATCTAAAAATTCCAAATATTACTTACATGACCAAGACCATGACCAGCCCCCCCCCCTTCTCACGGCAAAAACTATAGAGAAATCTCAAGCCGTTCTACCAGCTCCACTGTATCGTTTCAATCATTTCATTCGCTTGCTCAACCGAATGCACCCGCAAGAGAAGAAAAAGCAAAGGAAAGACACCGAAGACCCAACCCATCTCCAACTAAAAAAAAGTTTTTTTTTTGTCCATTTTACTTTCGATTATGATTTTCTCCGGCAATCCGGACCAGCAAGAAGAAAGGTTTCGTGAATTGAATTCCCCTCCATTTATCCCTATGAGCTCCAACATGCGCGGTCCCAATAGTAACGTAAAAATCAAAGGGATTTGCGACGAAAAAAAGAGAAACATGAGCGAGTATCAAAGAAAAAAGAAACGGTTATCCATCTGAGCACCATCTAACACATCGTCTTTGGAGTAAACTAGTGAGAACTTTTTTTTTATCTGGGTGACACGTTTACAAATCCCTACAAACCAGTTAGTTTCGAATCTTCCAAAGCCAGCATCATAGATTTGATAGACATACGCATCATCTTCGTCGGGAAGAGGGTGCAGAGCAGCATCCTCCATCTCCCGCTGGTAGGCTGCCAACACCTCGGTATCGACAGTGACCTCAGGGGGAGCCAAAGCTGGGGAAGCAACGAAGTCAAGAGTCGGGTTTCCAACGAGCTTCCTGGCCAACCACAAGAAAGGCTTTTCAAAGTTGTAGTTCGACTTGGCAGAGATATCGTAGTATTGAAGATTCTTCTTGCGATGGAAAGTAATGGCCTTGGTCTTAACCTTGCGCTCCTTAACGTCGACCTTATTTCCCGTAAGAACGATAGGAATGTTCTCGCAAACGCGAACGAGATCACCTATGGGATTTAATACTAGTGTTAGCTCCTATGCCGAAAAAGGTAATTATATACCCCAGGATTGTTGTCACGCACGATGCCAGTTGGGAACGTTCTTGTAGGTAATTCTAGAAGTGACGTCGAACATGATAATACCGCATTGACCATTGATGTAGTACCCATCTCTCAGCCCACCAAACTTCTCCTGACCAGCGGTATCCCAAACATCGAACTTGAGTTCACCGAAGTTGGTGAAAAAGCCAAGAGGGCTAAGGGGCAAAGTGGAAAAGTTAGCCAAAAACATAAACAAAATTATCGGGATAAAACCCCTAAATAAGGTGCTCTGTTAAACGGAGAAACATACTGGACCTCGACACCAAGAGTGGCGATATATTTTTTTTCAAACTCACCAGTCAAGTGACGCTTGACGAAGGTAGTCTTCACGAAAAACACATTAGCAAACCAATACTCTCCGGCAAAAGTTTAAATATTTTCATCGTGATACAAAGGCATTTCAGCCCCAGCTATTGCCATGTGGCCGAAGGGAGAGAAATATCGAAAATATCAGGATAGAAGGTAAAATATTAGAAGTGAGGGAGGGGAAATCACCTTTCCGGTACCACCATCACCGACAAGCACGAGCTTGAAGGTCGGAACCTGAGTTTGAGTGGTCATTGTCTAAAGGTTTGTATGCGAGAGACTAGAAAAGGCGACGATGAGGGAGCCCTTATGGTAAAAGGGGAGAGATGTCAGCAACTGGAGATAGCACCGCTGAGAAACTCCAGCGGAAGGATGGAGTGGGAAGGCTGTGGCGTTGGTGTTGGTGGGAGGGAAAGGAAAGGGAAGAGAGGGATGAGCACCTTTGTATGGAAATTGGAGGTCGAGGCGGATGAACGAAGTGGATGAAGTTTTTGTTTGGGTGAGGCAAAAAAAGCCGGGAAGAGTGAGAGCGAAAAAGAAAAGGGGAGGGGAGAGGGGGAAAAAAGTAGGGCAGGCTGGAGAGAGAGAAGACAGCACGACAACCGCGAGAGAGAAGAGGATGGGTGACTCTCCTGCAACAAGAAAAAAGGTGCTGGCGGGGCTGGCGAATCCAATTTTTCGACAGCCAAGCCCTCTCTCCTGTTGGTCAGCGAGTCCACCATAACCCTAACCCTGGCGGTCGAGAGGAAAATTAAGGCATGTTGGTGCTTTCCACGATCTTCTATGGTATGATAGGACAACGAAAGTTGAATTATTGAGCGAAAAAAAATCCGCTCCTCCCCTCTAGGGTAAATCATTAACTTATTGGTCATTTTCCGGCCAAGGTTTGCCGACTCGGATCATTTACCCTCGCGATACACTCTGCATTCGGATCATCCCATGATATCTTCGAAAAAGTCTGGCACAAATTTCTTTCCTTCCCCTTCACCATAACCACTTTCTCTATCAAACCTATCCCCGGCATAATACAAAGCCCGCAAACAAGATATCTAACTATATAAAATCCCCCATAATGGGCAGAGTGTCTGGGTATCAAAGTTACTAATTACATGAACTTATTCAGGGAATAAAATAATATCCATCTCGGAGTCGCCCGAGATGCCGTGACTAACACAGTGCAGAAGAATGAGAAAATGAAGAGAGTGTCATAAGATATTCAAAGAACCAGCATAATCACCTCAACAACAGTACTAAAAAAAAAAAAATACAACACCAGACAGCGCTCAACTATTTATGCTTATCATCCATGAGGATTCTTGGGAAATAAAGGGAATTCTTCCTCTGCAGTAGCAGCAACACCAACATGCAAATCAGAGATATAGAAAAACAGATCAGGAGGAGATTTGTCGGAGGAGATGGCAATATCGATTTAGAAGCTATTGGACTGTAAGTATAATTTAACAAATTGATATTTGTGTTGGGGATAACATACTGTTCCTTCCAGAAGCCAAAGTTAACTTCTGGTGTTGAAGCTTTTACGCAAGCCTTCCGGATACTTCTTGCTGCAACGCTAGGCCCGCAGAAGTATACACCGACGTTTGTCCTTAATGTCCCCTCCAATCCAGTGATGTATGATTGATCCATGATCCCGTCCCTCATTGTCGCGAAGAGCTTGGGGAAGTCAGGGCGACCGTATTGTGTTCCGGTTCTCAGTTGAGTCAAGGGGTCAACCTCCATTCCGACGCTATTGAGTACAATGTTTTGAGCCGTATCGGCATCGAGTCTTTGGGTGAGATACGTATGGATTCTCAAGAACTCGTTAGACTTGGAGCCGCCCTGTCGCTCTAATGAGGATAGAAGATTCTGGAACCACTCGAACGAAGAAATGTCACGGCAAACCCAGATGAACTCTACACGACGAAGACGCAGTGGTGCTGAGCCGGGGTTGTCGCGCTTGTGCCAGATGTTCTTCAGAATAGAGGCCCATGGCGTGACACCAATGCCGGTGCCGATAAGTACAGCAATCTCATTATCAAACACCTAACATTGATATGTCAGTATGCAAAAGGGAAGGGGATCAGTGACCCTGTACGCACATCTTCAGCTGGCGCCCCGTATGGTCCATCAATCCTCAAAGTGGGCATGCTCATTCCATTCCGTACAGCAATATCATATTGACCCATGGGATCGAGCCCCTCCATTCCCGGTGCATCTGAACCAGCGCCAAGCATCTCGCCCAGTGCCTTGGTGAAATCACCAACCTGGCGGATATGGACGGAAATGTATGGATCTGATGGACAGGAAGTGATAGTAAATGGATGCCACTGGAATCGAGACACAGCAGGGACCTGAAGGAAAAGGTATTGTCCGGATTTGTACTTCATCGATGGTTTCTTGAATTGAATTTCCATAGCACCATACGGATGCTTGACGACCTTGGTGATTTCAGTCTGCTTTCGTGCTCGTACTTCCCTCCATACCCGCTCAAGGAAGTAGATGGCAAATGTCCAGAGAGTAAACCGCCAACCCTGGTATCCAATACAATGCTTCCAGAAAATGTTTCCGGCGAAGGGAGAGTATGGCTCAGGTGTATCACGAACGAAGCACCCAACGGCATGAGTATAGAGGGCAAGGAAAAAGATAAGTGCAAGGTGATGCGTATACCAAAACGCCTCGAAGCACTGTTGTCTTATTTTGTGATGGGCACTAAATGAATGTAAGAAAAAAACCCTTCAACCTCCAGATGAGAGGAACGCTTACGTTGTGTACATCAACATCATACAGAAAAGCATAACGTGCCCTGTGATTCCTCCGGGTTGAGCGTAATGAATCTGCAGAGCTGTCACTGGTCGAATCTGGGTCTTTTCGACATTGTAAAAACTACAAAAAGTGTTAGTAATCGAGCTTTTTTTTTTTAATAATAATAAAAAAACAGGGCCAAGCTACTCACTTGACATAATGTGATAGTGTGTGAATGATACTGAATAGGAGTAAGGCATAGGCTGTCTGTCTATGGAGCCACTGACTCTCATCCAACGGCAGCCACTTGATCTTGGGCCTAACAACTCTCAAGATATTTCGGCACATAGGCAATACAATCAATCCACCATCAAAACACAGAACCAACCCAGCACCCCGCGACATCCACACCGAATATTGAAGGGTGTTGAGACCGGCCAGTCTGGGGTCAACAGCTTGCTTCCACCTAAATCAGACTTAGCAAAACGAACAGAACCTATGCCAAAATTCCAATAAACCCACCATCCAAAAGCGAACAGTCCCCAATGTATACCCCACCAAAATATCCAAAATAGCAATCTTCTCCCCGTCAACTCCCGATGCCACCATGATTCTTGACTCATTTCGTTGATCGATTTTTAGTAGTTCTGGGTTTACAAAAAATCTCCGAAGGGCGGAAACTAGACCTTTAAGGACAAGCGGGGGGCGAAATCGCTGCCGAAATGGTTATAATAAGCCGGCGGCTAGACTTGGGAGTTGTCTGGTTGCAGTTGGCAATTGGGTCGGCCAGCGACGAGTAGAATAAAATATAACAATCAGGAAATGAAGTCGAACCGTGCTGCAGAAACGAAACAAAAGGAGAGCGGAAATTAGAAAAACTACTAAAAAATAGTCGAGATATGAATAAGAATAACGAAGGTGTAGCAGTGGCAGAGTGAAAAACCCCCAGTACTCTGACGAAACCAGCGTTGACCACCAAAGAAAGAAAGAGGAAGAGCGGCGAGAAGAGGGAAAGGGAGGAGGAGGTGGGTGGGTAAGTGGGAAGAAGTGAAAGTGTAAAAAGCGGAAGAAAACCAAGAGGAGGGTAGGATATCTATGATAATTTGGAACCGTCAGAACAGCTTGCTTGCCAAGTGGACAAGCCTTCCTCCCCTCCCTGTCAGGCGGAAACGGCAACACAGAAGATCAAGTTTATGCAGGTGCCGGTAACCGGTGAAGCTGTGCTAGGAATGAGCACGGGGTTGAAGCACAGATCCAAGGAGAATACCGTAAAACCGAAAAGGACGGCAGAGTGATGAGGAAAGGGAGGAGGGGAAGGTTTCTGTGACGGAAGTGATGCTCGATTCCGAAGCCGGGGAAACACGATGGAGGGGTCTAGGGAAAGTTTTCTGGGTATGAAGGAGAGAGAGAGGGATCGCACGGACAACGAGCTCACTGTTTAAGGTTCAGGAGTTGAAGCGTTGACATTATCCGTCGTCTTTAGGAAGGAGTACAGAAGGAGTGCCGGGGCAAAAGGGAGAAGAGAGAAGGGGGGAGGAGCCATGATGATATCCTTCTTTGGAGGGTGGGTTTGGGGAAGACTGGCTGATACTGCGAGTAAAACCTTTACAGGGGTCGGTTGGGTGGTTTTACTGCGCTCCAAAAAAGTCTTGGTGATTGGGGGGGCGGAGGGTGAAAGTAGCGGATTGCACAGACGGAAGAGGTGAGGGGAAGGGATCTAACGAGCCACAAGTTTGCTGTGTCAGATTGGGTAGAATTGCGAGTGATGTACTGTATGAAGAAGGAAAAAGAAAGGTTACTATACAAGCATGGAAGACAAAGGCAACCTTGACTATTATTGTACCATTCGTTACTGGGGCCGTGTTCTTCTCTCATCCCTCAGGCTGCCACAGTACCAACACAAGCATACAAGTGCTCGAGTACAGTACGAGTACTCTAAAGGGAGATTTCTGTCTATTCTCCCCCAGGCACCAAGTTGCCGCGGTTTGTTACTAAGAAAAGGTCGATTGGATTCGCTTTGTGTGCGTTGCATCGCAGCGGGCTTCGATGGTTGGCCGTCGAGTTTAGCAATGCCAAGAAGGGAAGAAACCAAGCAAGGTACGATACGCCGCCGAGCACGCCAACCCTGCTCGTGCAGAGAGACAGGGCGCACAGATTCCGTTGAACGGCAACCCCACCCACCACCCCTTGGTGCGAAAAGTGCGGATAGGGTCGAGGGTACGGAGTTGCACCCTATCAACGCCAACTCCGAAATTGAACACCCAGCTGCTATCATAATTATCTCTGTATGTATGATATGATACTCGGATAGGTTGAGTAAATATCCTCACCGCCTCTACGAGTACCCCTCTACGAGTACCCCTACCGGTACACACACCCAGGAAAATTACCGTTATCATTGTGCAATACGGCTACGAGGAGCTGGCTCAAATATACTTATCTCGATGGCGGCACTCGTACATAGGTTCAACGAGCAAAGTACTAGTGCCGGTACGCCAACCCATGTTTGCCCATCCTCCAGCCCTATAAACCTTCCCCGGCTATGATGATATGGTAAAGCCCAGCTTCCAGGTTCCCCTCCCTCTCTGCATCCGAACTACCCCATCTGCACTCGAACCCAACCGCTTCCAACGAACACAGTAAGTCTACAGTATGATGATAAGTCATCTATCCGAACGATAGATTTCTATTCTTGGTTTTTGTTCTCCGTCCCTCTCGACACCATCGTGCGAATTTTGGCTGGATGAACCCCCGCCTCTTTCCCCAGTTCTCACCCGTCTGTCACACCAATTATGCCAACAACGCCAAGAACCAACAGACACACGCACCAGTAGGCTCCGTACGAGTACCGTGGTCGTGAAATCATAGCCGACAAAAGTGGATCCAAGGTCAATACGGTGATCTATAGTAATCATCATAGCCCCGCCCCGAGGGGAGAGAGGGAACATTGGACCGGGTATGATGTTCGAGTACGGTACTGCACCGATACCTCCCACTATCCTTTGCAAGCGCCCGCAAAACAAGTACCTTTTGCGGCAAGCCAATTTTACCCCTCACGTGCCCATCATATGCGAGCAAGCACCCCTGTCTTGAGACATTTGGGGCGCTCTGCTTGTCATAGCCACTGGCGACCAGGAGAAAAGGGAGAGGAGGTGGCTTGTAACGGAGCCGTTCCTGCCTTCCTGAGCACTCAAGCCCCCCCATACAACAGCCTTTCCCCTCATGATACGGCGAGCGTCTCAAGAACCTCAACCTCTCGCTGTGCATTGCTCTAGAACCGCAGACAAAGCGTCCGTCTCAACGAGAAGGAGAATGCTCGGCTCAAGAGTATCATGGCCCCTAAATTATCCGTTCTAGCGCTGGAAAGTGGCTGACTACTGATACCGTCGCCGTTTCTTGCGTTGTGATGATAAATGTGGGGGTATCAATGGCACAAACTTCCCCGAGTATGAGGTGTCGGGGAAGCCGAAAGAGCAAACCTACTTATCGATCATGGATGCGAGGGAATATTTGTACTGTACTTGTATGGCACCGGTAGTTCTCGTGCACATGCTTTAATGTATCTTACTGGCGATCGAGTGTTCATAATTGTGGCTAACCCCTGTCGTCACACAATAGGCAAAGGTCCAACAAGCAGAATCTGGATGAATCCCCAATGAGCCAATGGTCCATCTCTCGGCCTCCTCTACCGAATGTGATGAGTTTAGACTCTATCCTCTCCATCCAATCGAGAGCGCAAACTAGGATGAGAGAAGATGTGAGGAAAGGAATCAACACGATGCCTCAATCCTATTCGTGGGCGGCGACGGTCTTCCAAAATAAACCTCGATTACAGGATTCCATTGTTCAACTCATGGAGTGGGTAGAAATTAGGAGGCGGTCGCGCAATATGGTTGGTTGGTGGAGGGGGGGGGATGTGAGAGGGTGGTTGAAAAGTGAGGTGCAGATGCACACGAACCAACCGCGCACATGGATGTCCCACACCGCACACCAGCAGCCAGTCGCATCGCTCCATTCGAAATCAGGTACGGCCAAAAGCGGGAGATGATGAGTGATTTTACACTTTCTCATATTGGCTTCAAGTGCCCACTGCCCCAGTACAGTACAGTATCCTTGCGCCTCCAGCTTAAGCGAAGAGGAGGACAAGAATGTCGGAGGACAAGGTGGTGCGAAACCCATGCAGTTTTACCGTTATAGCATCAGACACTCTTCCGTTTTAGGATCCATGAACAGCATTATGCAAACCTTCCCACGATCCTTCTCCTCGTTTTGGCCCACTCAACCCTTGCAAACAGGGTCCGAGTGACCAGCGGAGACGGCTCCACTTCGAAGCCTTTTTCTATTCCCATCCCCCACCTCCAGTTGTTGAGAAATTCGGATGTCCTCGCCTCTTCGTTCTATTCCCAAACTCATTTTGTGTGTGTGCTAACTTTGTACCTTCGCTTCTTCTTCATCCCAACCTATTTCACTTTTCACTTTTTCTTTTCTTTTCTCTCGTGCAGGCATTTTCATTTCATTTTTTATATTCTTATTTTGTGATAATCGTTTTCTACGCTTCTTGCCATCTTGTCTCAATTTTTTTTGGTACTATTTTCTTCCCCCAATTCCCTTTTTTTTTTTATCCAAACTGACACCAAACGAACGATTCGCCCATCGTTGTCTCTGCCAACCACCACCACCCAACGGCATCTCGCATCTCGGGTAAGTTTTAATTTCGTACTCCCCCCCGCTCTTTGGTTAATCTGCGGGCTTTTGCCTCATCCGTCACCCACACAAGCATCTCATCATTTGCTAATAGCCAATCACGCCAGCGCTACCCGAGCCTTGCTTTTTCCTTGAACTTGTTGCCTTTGTGGTGTCCATCGTTTATATATCTACGATACTTCCGTTCCTGTGCCTGGTGCACCTATTCTTCCGGTATCGCAGTGCCTCTCCGCGTTTGAACCCGCATCCTCTCTCTCGAAGAAAGAATCGAACTCTTTCTCTGAGCTTTCGACCATCCCCGCTGCCTTCCCTATAGTTCGGCCAGTTTCCGAAAAGCGAAGCTGATTATTCTGCCGTACGGGTACGGTAGCCTAAATATTTCGAAAGAGGGACGCTAGCTCGCCGCTTCTCCACCGAAAACCTTTAATTTTCCTTCCGCGATTGAAAGTTTAGCACACCAAAAAAGAAAAGAAAAAAAAAACACAAGATCTCTTAAAACCTCATAAAAAAAAGAAGAAGAAAACTTCAACAAAATGGGAAGACTCATCAAGAACCACTTGGCCCGTCTCATCATCCTTACGGCAGCGACGTACCAGATCGCAGCTGGCCTCCATGGGTACTTCTGGCCCAAGATTTTCTGGGATACGTGGACCAAGTGAGTTGCCATTCAATTAACCATTTCCACTTTACAAACAACAGACAAACTAACAAAAATCCTCCCCTTTAGGTCTCTCGACCAAGCGGTCAAGCCAGTCCCCGCCCTTCAAACCCTCAACCTACTGATGGGTATAATCGGCGTCTGCTGGGAATACCCTCTCCCCCTGTTCATCCCTAACACCTCCCTCCACCGAAGTATTGCCGCGAGGCTCACCATCTACCCTCTCAGCGTCCTTTGCGCCGCACTCCTGTACCAGGGTACCAACGCAGCAATCTACTATCTCGTCGGAATCCTCATCTACTTCTGGGCATACAGTGATGGCGAAATCGTCTGCATGCCATGGAAAGTCCCCGAACGCCCAAGACCCCGCCAACGGCCCCCCCCAAATATAGAGAAAGAAAAGTTTTGAAAGGTATCAATCGAAATCTGTACAACGCTTCACTTCGTTTCTTGCACAAAATTATTTACCCGATACGGTGACCTTTAACTCTATTCTTTCCTCTTTCCTCAAACCGGTCCGGCGGTCGGAGCATCAACACGAAATTTTTTTTTATGGGGGTTTTCACTTTTTTCACTGGCATAGCACGACGTATGGGGCATTAGGGGGCGAGGTGGACACTGGCGGTGTAATATTTCTTTTTTCCTTTCTAGTACCATTTTCTTTTCTCATTTGCCTAGCGTTTCTCAAATTTATTTTTCCCTACTCGGGGTCGCTTAACGAATTGGATTATGGGTTTTTTTTTTCTTTTCCTTCCTTCAAGCTTACCGGTATCTTTGCGTTTGCACAACGTTTCACTATTTCTCCCCTTCTTACTTGCACGGGATTCTTGAAATCTTGGGCTTTCGTTTTATTTTATGCCTTTCTTGACAGTCCTTTTACTCCTAATCCCTGCCCAACTGCTACCTCCTTCTCCTGTCAGAGACCTGAACAGTCTCTAACGTCCTCCCATGTGCATACTACCTGTATCATCGAAATCTTCCCCCTCTTTTTTCCCCTACTACTGCAACAACAATCATTACCTAACAAATTTTTTTTTTTTTTTTTACCTCTTTTCTCTTCTGAACGGTGTCTTTCCCGTTTTACTATAGCTTCAATGTATATATTTTCCTTAGATACCGGTTTCGAACATATACTTCTTGTACTTAGGTTACATTTCCTTATTTTCATCATAGTTAGCTAGCATTTAACGGATCAATCAATCGAGAAGTTTAGGGGGTGAATTAAATCAGACCAAAGAACAAGTTTTTTCCCTTCCGCTATGATACAGTGAGTGGCATGGAACGGGATGAGACATCCAACGTATCAAACACTCAACGCTTTAAAACCCTCCTCTTCCTCCTCCTCCTACCGCCCCTAGCGCTGCGCCAGATCCACGATGTATTGTACGCAGTGATACCTCTTGCTACATCCGTGTGCACGTTGAAACGTCTTTTGAGATGCCTAGATCGGTGGATCATGTCATGCATAAACTTGATCAATTCTCCTGACCACGCTTTGACCATCTGCACTCTAAAGGGGAGAGGGAGTCTTGCTTTAGCGTCCTCGAGTTATGGCTAGGGTAGGGTAGGGTAGGGTATGATACACAGTTAGCGCTGTGCTCGGCTCGGCTCGGCTCGGCTTGGCTGCTCTTGGTTAGTCAGTAAGTCAGTCAGTCAGTCATGGATGGGCGCGCGCGGTTAGTCTACGTACGGTAACGGGTATCAAAGCTATGTATGTAACTAACCTGGGCATTGGATGTGGCAGGGCGGTTGTGGCTTGCCTGGGCTGTCATAGAGTGGCGGTTGTTGGCACAACTGAGGACAACCAAAATAGGGGAGTTTTCGCACAACTGATTGCTGATAATTATGTATCAACCTAGCGTCTATCGTTTTGGGTTAAAAGGAATATATATATATATAATATTTAATTTCGTACGTACGCCGGTCCCATCACTTCCCTACTCTGCCTCCCCTTTTTTTGTTTGGGAATGTAAATTGTTATCATTTCTTGACTCACCGGTTGGTCAAGCATCTCAAGTATGATACTCCTAACTAACTTGGTCTAACTGTAGGACTGCGAGTCAAGTACTGCACACTGGAAATTGCTTGTTGGGTAATTTCAGATCTAGCAGGTATACACGGTGTACGGTACTCATTTGGCGAGGACTCTGGGTAATTCCTAGGGAGGGAGGGGGGGTTGAAGTCATCGGTATCTATGCCATGCTTCTTGAGTTTTTAATTATTTTATAAATTTTTTTTTTTGGGAGGAGGTTGATGACCATTCCGTATACCCCTGTCTTTTTACTACCGGTAGGGAATATTGTTGTCCCGCTATTTTCTTCGCTCATGCGCTGCCCGCTGCTATCGCATATCATATCGGAAAAGTTCAGCTTTGAATTCGCACCATACTTGTTGTACTGGGTTGTTTGTTTTGTCTTGCATTGGGTCGGGCTGGGCCGGGGTGGTCAAGATCCTCCGGGGCAGCGAGCGGACGGTCAATATGAGCGGTGAGTTTGAAGGAAGAAATGCACGAACGGCCCGGAGCGCATACTTGAGTACATACTGACTTAGGCAATATAGCAAAATACCGCGGGGCGAGAATTGTGTGAAATTGGGTCTCGAACGCTGACCGGTTCGATAGGAATTGCCCATGACCCTTCGAGAAAGCTCCCTTCGGAGTCCCCGATTCCTTGTCTCTGGAGCGGGTGTGGGGGTCCTGCGTTTTCTTTTCCATGAAAAAAAAGTCTACCGATCGGTTTTTCCACAACCCACTTTTGGACCGTGCGGTGTTTTCACGACAATTTTTGCAACCACCCCCGGCTATAGGTGCCCGAGAACAGGGATTGAAGGGGGGGCATATGGTACGAGTAAGATCAGCTCCGGGCATCGGGCGGTGGCACGATACGGACTTCACAATGAGCCAAATTCCGGCCGGATCAGACGAGCCTTGCTTGCTTGCTTGCATCACTGGCCGTGCCGTGAAAAGAATCGGAATTCTCAAAACGGGTAAACAAAGGGTCGGGCATTTAGACGTGGCAGGGTTCCATCGACAACTCGCATGGGCAAACGGGATGAATGGGTGGTGTTTGTACTTGATGTAAAGTACTATTACCGTTCGTTGGAATTAAGTTTGACATCCCTGATATGATAAGCAGTATCATAGCATGACTAAATGCCCGACCCTTGTGCTTGCTCAATTACGGGCAGTCTACTTGTACCCTTCTATGATACGAATCCCGGGGATCGGCACGAATGTTTCGACGCCGAACTTTCTCTCTTCCCCCCGTGCAGGGGCCAATTTGAAATTACCGGTATCATAATAATATTATTATCATGATTGCAGCTACGATAACGAGACAAGTACCGTACCCGGGGGCCAGGGTAATTCAGGCAGGTGAGCCTTCGAACTTGTTGCTTTGATCCAGGTAACCTCGCCCCTCCGTCGCTCACCAGATATGATATCCACCGCGGCCGCGAATTCTTTTCCGCCACCGATCCACCCCCTCAAGCGGCGCAATCGAAACAACACGTCTTTCAATCATTCAGAGGGATAGATGTTAAAGTGCGGGCACAGTAATTAGTTGTAAAGGAAAGACCGGTGATACCATCGGCCCCTGCCCCTTTGGGCCCCTGCCCCTTTGGCACCGCTTCCTAGTCGAGCAACACAGTCGACAGGAAGAAATTTCTCGGGTACGCCCGACCTTTTATTTTGCCGTCGCCGGGAAATTCTCACTGGTTATCACTCGAACTTCCCAATCTGGTTTAGATTACATTATATAAACGTTACAACGCTTTTTGGATTGGGAGTGCGGTAGCGGCGGTGGTGGGGATAAATTTCTCGGGTGAGTCGGGATGGGTGTTTGCGGGTGGTGGGGGTGAGAGAGATGCCCGAGTGACTTGCGTGGTTTGGCCGCGGAGGGGGGTGAATTGTGCTCTGTCCCTTCTACCGGGTGGTTGTGGGGGGGTATACTAGAACATTCGAGTGTGATGGGTGGAGGGGTTGACTTGGTTTCGCTTATGGCATGGGGTAGTGCGGGGTGCGGGAGAGAAGGAGGGGGTGGTGGGTACGGAACGACGGCTGGGTGTTATATCACCGGGTGTATAACTCCTTCCGACAGGGGTGGTACAGTTTTGAGAGGATATATAGCGTACCATCTCGGGCATCTCAGCCAAGTCGGACCAAGATTCTTTGTAAAAACGCAGGACGGCAGTTCCTTCCTTCCCGCCGGTCATGCTCCAACCGGTTCGGTACCGTAAGGTACCCCCGTCGCTATCTCACAGCATTCCGGGGTGCGGTAACGGACGGGTAATGGACGGGAAGGTGGAATTATGTGTTAGCGTTTTGGTTATGGTGGGCTGGTACTCGTACAGTAAGGTTGAGGTATCATAAACATCGTGTTTCGGATTTAGCGCATCCTCGAAGGGCTGTTACGATGGGTGTTTCGTGATATCATGCTGTCCTTTGGCAGTGTGAGCGGGTATGGCAAGGGATTGGTTGTTTAATGTGGAGGCATGAGCGGGGGTGTTTCTGTGTATGGCTTTAGGAATGGGTGTTATTATCGCATGGTTGAAGTGTTTAGGTGGATACCATAGTGGTGGTGCCTGGGATACAGTATCAAGTACTTCCCTGATACAGGTTTCAGGGAACTGATAAACTTGAAGCTCTGTCGAGTTGGATGGGTTGGTGATTAGCATGCTTATATTTTAACCAACTAGGGAGACGGGAACGGTATTAATAGATTGGCCTGATATGTACTCGTATTTTTGCCATGATACCGTATTTCGGTGACACAGTTTTGGGAGGAAACATGTTTTGGCCTGTCATCGTCGGTGTTGGCGCGGTATCACAATCCGGGTTGTCTTGGTAATAGTGGAAACGGTTTGTCGCCGGCATATGATAACTACTCTATTATTGCACTTTAAGGGGGGGGTGTTTCCTTCCATGATACCCATTCACCCATAAAAACCTTTGCTAGGCACACCTTCCATAAAAGCCATCTTATGACACCAATGTTGAAATGGTACCAAGAGCTGAGACCGAAGTGAGCTGATACCAGTAAGAGGCGTTTTTTTACTGTTCTCTTATTAATCGGGAAGAAGAAGGGAAGTAGTTGCCGAAGGATAACCCAATAAGTCGACGAAAGTGGTCACGGGGTATCACTCGAGACAGCGGGTTCCGGCGGAGCACGAACACGACGACGACCGACAAATCCGAGTCTGAAACTCGGTGACCGGTGAATAGGGAGCGCGATATCGCGGAACGAGCGAGGTAATTATGAAACCCGAGCACCCAGTAGGAGCTAGCCTAGCCTACGTGTTGTATCATAGTTCCATGATAGGTCTATTCCTAACCTCTGATTCCACCGCTTCCGCGCTTTGGGTGGGGTGTGTTGGGGGTCTTTTTAGGAAGCGGGTTTGGGCTTCATGGACTATGGTACTATCCTGATGGCTCATGACATATGCGGTTCCCACAACGGCTCCGCTTGGAATCTTGGAGGTGGAAAGAAAGGGTGAAAACTTGTGTTTGCGCTGTGGTTGGTATAGGTATCGTAGGTTCAAGGCACTTATTTCCTGGAGTTTGTGTTATGTACAAGTAGTATGATATGATCCTTGGGATTATGAGAAAGACTTGCTATTGTGAAAATTGGTTGAGACTCTTAAAGGTGGATTCGCCCGTCGAATGTTGGGTACAGTATACACACTCAATGGATGTGATCGAGATTTCAACTTTGTTATAAATGAGTAAAAACTGCATTTGACTCGGTTGTATTAAATTGTAGTCTATCTTTTTCATACAGTGCAAGGTATCTTGGTTGACTTAAAGCTTTCACGTACGTAGACTAGAAGTAACTGACTGACTGACAAAGGAACAGGTTTGAGGAAGCATCGGATGTTATCGTACGAAAAGACATCGGGGTCCTTCGATGAATTATCGAATAGACGATCATGTGATCTGAAGATCGCGCGGGAGGTTTCTCGACTTGAACGAATGTTCCCCGGGTCCTCTGATCGTCAATTTTGGAGATCTTTTTGGTGTTGAAAGATTCCTGAGGTTGCGCTTTTAGCTGGCGATGATGCACTGTAGACTACATAACTTATAGACTATGTAACTATGGTACTCGACGGGGTGATGGGACTGATAAATGATTGCAGCGCCAAGAGCAACACTGATGGCTCTACCGTAAGTACTCGAGTACTGTACTGTAGACTACCCTCGTCAGGTGGGTCTAGTATGATACGATAAATCATTTCTCTCCGCCACGGCCTGGCCGGGCAGATAGCAAACAGAGTGACAACTCGCTCACTTCAATTAAAGGATTGGCCATTTACGCTCTTCCTCTCGCTGATTGCCTTATGATCCGTTCTTGGGGTTGGTGCGTGCTGGTGGGATGGGATGGTGGGCCTGAGAGGGGGAACATTGATGTGGGGGGAAACTGGTATCATAGGTTGTTCATTGGGCTGCCGGTGTTTCTTGTTGTCTGCTTGAGTACTCGAGTATTGTACAGTACGTATCACAAGACTAACTTTAAATCCTGGGATTGTAGAGCCTCATCTACCGGTATTTCCACCCCTCCTGCGCTGGTAGTTATCAGCGCTCGTCTTGCTTTACTTGTACTTGTATACTTGCGTGATGGTATCATGGTGTCGCTAATTTTTTACTGCCGTCTTGTACGAGTACTTGTATGCGGTGGGAGGCTAACTCGCTTTGTAACCCTCCGCGAATCCCTATTTGCTTGGCAAATTAACCTTGACGATGGCGGGGTTAACCGTTGGTGGGAGTTCCCCTGCATTCGGTCTTCAAGCTCCTGCCGGTACTGTACTGTACTCAGTACAAGTACTATACAGCACGCCTCGCCTAAGAGTTAAATATTTCGCAAGACCTAAGGTTCTTCAGCAGTTTGAAGTTGGGCATTTCTAAGGTCGGAAGTGCTCAGGTTGGGGAATATCCTCCCTCACCCCACCCTGCGATGAACTTTTTGTCATAATCGCCCAACAAGTACGGTACTGCTGCACAGCCTACCGGTTATTTCACTCCTGCTCGCTGTGTAAATTTATTTTTTCTTGTGAAATCCAATTGCCGTTAGTCTGGCACTAACTTAACCGTCTGCCACGGATGATTTCGGGAGAAAAAGCTGTTTTTTTCTTTTTCTTTCATAAACAACGAAAGGAGAAATGGCCTCCTCATCGTGGTATAAACTTATTTCAATCATCGATAATGTGCTAGAATTTATGCATGATGATAATATTATTATTATGTTACGTATAAGTCACTTGCGCCTTTCCCTCATAAAGAGGGGATTTACGGAAAAGTGGCAAAGGTGGCTGTGCCGATGACCCCTGCTTGCCTTGCCTTCTAAGATCTTCTTTCCCCTCCTTAACCATCCCCCCCACCCCAACAACCGTAGAAAGAAGAGAGGGGGCCGCCACAATCAGTCAGGCAAACCATTCTAGCGAGCGTCATTCACCTGGTCAGCCTACTCGCAACCACTCCCCTCCTCCGACGTCAGCCCCTTCCCACCATTCTCTTCAAACTTGATCTCTCATCGACCCTCTCTCCCTTTTCCATCCTCTCCCCTCCACCCGAAAATACAAGGCCCTGATCTGATTTCCCCTCCCTCAACCCCTTCAGATTTTCCTCGCCATAGGCTCCGCGCTCGGTTTCCATCATCATCGCAACTTGATTGCAGATAAAAATGTCCTCTAGCGAGCAATCCGCACAGGGGCCACCCCCTTCCTCTGAATCCTCCGTTCCTATCACATTCTCCGTCAAGTCCTCAAACGACACCAAATATACCGTCGAGCTGCCCCCGACAACCTCTGTTGCCGACCTGAAGACGACCCTTGCCGGCATGTCCGATATCGCTGCCGACAGGCAAAGACTTATTTACTCGGGGCGTGTAATGAAGGATGAGGAGACACTGGCCTTTTACAAATTACAATCCGGCCATACCGTTCACATGGTCAAGGGAGCCGCCTCGAACACCGCGAGGGGTGGTGCCTCGAGTAGTGGCCCCACCACTGGTGGAGCGGACGCGAGGCCGGCTGTGCCCACCAATATCGCGGCAGGGACAGGGAACAACCCACTTGCGGGGCTGACTGGTGCCAGATACGCGGGACACGTTCAGTTGCCAAATGCGGATATGTTTGGTCCCGATGGAGGGGTAAGTCTTTGTCCCAGTGCTGCATCACTTATCAGCCTTCCCCAGGTACGGAGGTCTTATCGATCGGTTAATCTAACGTTTTTGTGCGATAATCTAGATGGGTCCACCACCAGATGCAGAGCAGCTTGCCCAGGCTATGAGCAATCCCCAATTTCAGTCCACCATGAATGATCTGCTATCAAACCCTCAGATTATGGACTACATCTTTGCCTCGAACCCTATGCTCTCACAACTTGGACCGGAGGTTAGACAAATGATGCAGTCAGACTTGTTCCGCCAATTGATGTCGAACCCACAAGTGATCCGCTCGATGTCCCAGATGACTGGTGGCCTCGGTCGTGGCTTCGGCGGGATGGGTGGTGCGGCTGCTTCTTTCCCGGAGCCTGGGAGAACTGATACCACCCCATCCTCCGATTCGCCAGCAGGATCTACACCAGCAGAGTCCACTCCTAATCCTGCAGCAGCTGGTTCACCACCCCCACTGAATCCCTTTTTGCCCGGCGCAGCCGGAGGCAATCCGTTTGCTGCGCTCTTCGGCGGACAGCCGCCTCGCGCGGGTGCACCGGGTAGGTTACTCCCAACTGCTCCGTAGCTCCCATGGTGGGGTCAGTGCTGACATCAAAAGGGTTAGGCGCCTCACCAAGTCAAACACCGGGTCAAGCACCCGGTCAGGTGCCAGGTGGCCTCGACGCAAACGCCATAAACTCCATCCTCGGGGCATTAGGCGGCGGTGGCGGTGGGCAACCAAGTGCCTCCACTGGTGATCCAGCCAGCGGAGCACCTAATCAACCCCTCCCTCCCAATCACCCCCTTGCGGGCAACAACCCCCTCGCAATCCTCCTCGGTGCCAATGGGCCCTTGGGTGGAGCGGGGGCTCTGCGGGCCGCTCAAGCTCAGGCAGCAGCGCCGGTTGATAATAGGCCTCCAGAGGAGAGATATGCAGAGCAATTGGGACAGCTCAATGATATGGGCTTCTACGATTTCGACAGGAACGTTGCTGCACTGCGTCGGAGTGGTGGGAGCGTCCAGGGCGCGATTAACGAGTTATTGGATGGGTAGACTGGGTATGCCGGAGGCCATGTTAGGCAGGGGTGGGAAAGGATGAGGGGATGAAATGGTAGCTTTGCGGCTATTGCCTTTTGTATCTCTTATCGGTATCCTCTCCTTGGTAACGAACTGGGTCTAGTGGAATAGCTATCAGGAAATGGAGTCCCTTTTTTTCGGCTTTTTTCTCTCTCTCTTTACCTCTTACCATTTGTACTCTTTGCGGATCTACTTTACTTCTTTGCGCTTTCTCATTATATCTCATTTTCAACCAGTGGTTGTCCTTTCCCACTATCTACTATTATCCCCCCCCCTCGCTTCTTGCTCGTTCTTCATTCATAAAGGGTAGTAATTGGACAAGGTTTTCCCCTTATCGGAATTTCCACAATTAGCTGTGGTTGATTGTAATATGCGAGTGCCACATTAGTGGATTGGTGGCCGGCTGGACAGACGGCCAAGGGCAAACGTGGCTTCGAGTGATTTGGCGTGAATATCTTGGAGTTGGGGAAACAAAATTCTCATCCATGATGTTTGTGGGTATCTTACGGACGGGCGATGTGCACTCCAAGATAGCCCCCAAACCGGAGAGCTGCTACAACTCTACTGCCCCCCACAGCACATACAAGTAGACTTGTATGTAGAACCGGCCACCACCTTCTCACATCCTCCCTCCCTCCCTCCTTCCCGCAACCAGAAGAAACCAACAAAAAAGAAATCCACGAAACGACGGTTCTATAATATTATCATATAATAATACTCATGCAGAAGTATGACAAAAGTAAGTAAGTAACCAAGTAAGCCTAGCACGACCAAGTAAGGAGAGAAAGACGGAAAGAGAGGAGGAGTAAGTTCGTATCATCATATCAACCTCCAAACTTCCATATATATATAGTCCTCACAAAGACCAAGCAAACTACCATAATCTAACTAAATGAT